TCATATGTAACTGACCCATCCTTCTTATGCCATTGGTCCATGCTTTGTATGTTACTGGCCCATCCTTCTTATGCCACTGGTCTATCCATTGTATGTCATGGGTCATCCTTCTTATGTTATTGGTCCATCCTTTTTATGCCATTGACCCAGCCTTTTTATGCCATTAGCCCATCAGACATATGGTGCCAGATCCATATATTTTTAGAGCAATTGTCATCCAATGTGGCTGACGTGCAGACTGCTATAATAATCCTGTCTTCTGTCATCTTCTTATGCAGTTGCTGGTGCATACATTTGCGTCAACAAAATTTCTTTTGCCTTATCTGATGAGACTTATAACACTTTACTCAGAAACAGATGACATGGTCTTTCTTTCAAGCAGTGCAAAGAGATTAGAAAAGCTGTTTTGTTTTGTTGCTGTTTTGTTTTGTCAGATGATAAAAGTGAAAATCAAAATGCTTCTGAACTTCAATATAACATTACGACCACAGATCAGCATTTTTAATGAAAATTCAAAATCAAAGGTTAAGAATATGAAAATTTCAAAATAACTTCAACAGCATCATTTCATAATTACTTTTTAATAGTGTCATTAGAAAGAAAGAAAGAAAAACAGGAATAGATTTATATTAGAATTGGAAAGCCATAAAGAATCTCTCTCTCTCTCTCTCTCTCTCTCTCTCTCTCTCTCTCTCTCTCTCTCTCTCTCTCTCTCTCTCTCTCTCTCTCTCCAGTACTCACATTGAACTACTAATGTCTTGGGCTGTTCTCTCAGATTTTTAGAAAAATTTTTCTAAAGCCAACAGCCCTACAAAAAAAAACATATGACAAGGGCACTATTTTGTGAAAGCAAAAAAAAAAAATTACAATTTTAAGACAGCTGTCACTGTTCAAGATCATTTGACAGTAAATAAGTAAAGTAGCAAACACCAAAACAAAAGTAAAGGACCCTGTTTCAATACCTCAACGTTTTAAAAGTAACTTTAAAATACCAAGAACTGTTCACAACAAACACATGGGTACAGCTTTTCTGTGAGCAATAAAAAATCAGCTTTAAAAAAAAAAGAAGTCTCATTGTTAAAGCTCATATAACAAATAATTAAAAAAAAACACAAACCAAATTTTTTTTTAAACAATAAAGAACCCTGTCTCCGTGTTATCATTGGACATTGTAGCTCTAGTTATAAGCACATATTTTCTTGACCATGCGAAATACAGTGAGCTGTGCGGTTGTTTATTACCCATTTTCTTAACCAAACAACAAACACCTGGCTATGTGGCTGGTTAACACATATTTTCTTAACCCCCCAACCCCCCCCCCCCCCCCCCCCCCCCCCCCCCCTTTTCCCCCTAATAGCACATTAGGCAAATGTTTTTTGCTTTTTCATATTTTCTTGACCAAAATGAATACGAGATACTAGGCAATGTGTTTGGTTATTACATATTTTCTTGGCCCCCAAAAATATATATATCAGGAGCTTTTTGGTTGGTTATTAAACAATTTCTTTGGCCAAACAAAATATATTAGACAATTTGGTTGGTTATTGCATATTGTCTTGATCAAACAAAATATACTGGCTATTGTTAAAGTAAAGTAAAGAACCCTTTTCCATGCCTTTAGGGCTATATGGCATATAGAGCTAGACTTATATTTTATAGACCAATCGGCACAAGATAGGTGATGTGGTCAGCATCATGCCAGCCACTTTTACTTCCTAGCACTGCACCCGGTACCCACTCAAAGCTGGGTCAACCTGGGAGCTAAGGTCATTTTTTTTTTAAAGTCCGGCTCCGCCAGGGAGCAAACCCATGACCTTCCGATCCGCAGGCGAGCATCTGGCCTGCTCCGCCACGTCGACTTCTTATTGGCCATTGTGGTTGACTTTTACATCAGCTATCTTACCTCTAAGCCTGTTTTAAGAGGCTGGGTTGATACCAGCCACATGGTCATTAAAATCTCACTTTAAGGGGGATTTTAACGCATGGTCAACAGACCAGAAAGTAGGTACACCTCCACTAAAAGGCTGCAGCTCACTAACTGGAACACACTAAATTTAAACACAAGCAGGACATAATTATCATCATCAGCACTAAAATTGTTTAAGCAAAAGAAGTTCAAAGTTGAACATTAACATAATTGCCAAAAATGACCTTGGTAAAAGATAACATACATAGGCTCAACTGCAAGCACATTTTCTCAAAGACATGAAGCAGAACAAAATGACAAAAGTGAAAGTCATTACAAATAATGCAAAAGGCTGATGTTTAGAAAAAATAAAAATTCATCTCCAGGTGTTTTGGTAATGGATTGTTTTGCATTGACTACAACAGAGCTATGACATACCATTAAGAAAGCAATGGCAAACTACAGAACGTAACATTCTCTTGTAAACCCACAAAACAGCTCATTAATGCTGTGTCTAGTGTGTGACGTACCGGCCAGGACATACTGAAGATAGCAATTTGTACTAAAAATTTAGCATGACGTTTTTATCTGTTTTAAAATATATACAATCATTTGTTTTATGTACAGATATATATTATAGTTATGATTACTCTATACTAGAACATTTTGTCGTGTGTTTATTTCATGTGTTCATTTTACAAAATAAAACATAACTTTTTGATTGCATGTAAGATAATGAAATTTTATTAAATATCTAAATTAAATATACTAACTATACCACACTGTCCTGTTTCTCCACTCATTAATTTATGTTAGCCTGTGTAACTCTGAAACTAAAACCAATCTGTTGTCTTTTCTTGTCTTTATTTTGAGCTGCTTTTTAAAATATTTTCTTTGTCTCCTCTTACTAGTATTTAGTGTTATTCACAATGTGTAGGATTAAATATTTATTTATTCTATGTGGTTGACTTTGAAATCACTTAGCTGTCTTTCTTGTCTTAATTTGTATTTAGTTGCTAATTGAGTATAATATTATTTTTTTTTTATTTCTGTCTTCTCTTACAACTAATGACATCTAAGATAAAATAGTTATTTACTGTGTAGTATTTTATTCTGAAACAGCTATGTTGTCTTCTCTTGTTTAATGATTAAAATGTTCCTTAAAATTTAATTTTACTTTATATTTCCCCCCTTTTTTCACCACATGTTAGATTAAATTTTAATAAGCATATGTTGTTTTAGAATGTTCTATTTAAAAATATAAACAAAGTACTTAGAATGTTCATTACACATTTTGGAAGTTAACCTGTTCTAATGTACACACTTATTCATCAAATGGCATAATTTCCATACTAATACTTATTTAATATTAAATACTTAAGACGTGGTCTACTTTTTATAAATGTTTTTATTTTTAATGATTCTTCTACTTTTCTTTAACTAGTACTTTTAAAACAAAGTTTTATAATGGTCTTTTTATTCTAAGCAAAGCAATAAAATGTGAAACAACACAAACATGAGAAACAACCATAATTAGAATGTTTGCTGAAAATATAATAAACTGACTTTACTGTTTTGTTTTGTTTTGTTTCTTGTTATAATTCTGTTTAATGTCAGTTTCTTGGTCAGAGTTTTTTTTTTTTTTTTTATTGTTTAATTTTTTTATTATTTTTATTATTATTTTTTTGTGTGTTTTGTTTTGTGGATATAATTTTATTTGATGCTTTAATTTGACTCAATTTTTAAAGGATTTTTCATGCCACTAGCAAAACACAGGAAATTGTGAAGACCAATCTTGTGTCATTTTAGCAAATCTATTGACTCATATCTTTTCATGTATGCAGTTTCTGAACATCTGACTTGTGCCATTGATAAATGGTTATTTACTATTGACCCAGACAATAAATGAGCTATTCTAACCTAAGGGTCACTAACAAAGGAAAGTCAAAGATCAAAGATTTTTTTTTTCTTTTTTAGGTACTGCTAATGACGGTTTAACACTACAGGCAAGCAATGTCAATCCTAAAGCAACAGAAAGCAGATACCTCATCAACCTTTCAAAAAATTTAAAAAAAAAAAAAAACATACAAAAACAGTAAACGTCCGTCCCTTTTCAAGTCAATGTAAATATAGGAATATGTTGTGGATTCGTGGGTCCGCTCCCTGGTGGAGGACTTTTAAAAAATGACCTTGGCTCCCAGGTCGACCCAGACTTGAGTGGGTACCGGGTGCTGTCCTGGAAAGTAAAGGTGGCCAGCGTGATGCTGACCACATCACCCATCTGTGCCAATCGGTCTTTAAAAATATAGGTCTAGCCTAAAGGTGTGGAAAAGGGTCTTTTACTTTTTTTTTTACTTACTTATACTACTTAAACAAATTATTTTCTTAGTGATCTCTAGCAAATGGTTTCAAACTAAAACTGAACTAAAAGCAATTAAAGTAAATGAAAAATAGGGTGATGTCATTCTTCTTCTTCTTCGTGTTCATCAGCTGTAAACTCCAGCAGAAAGTTCTGGTTCTTCCTCCACCTCTTGACTTTAGTCTGGTTCCAACACCTGAGTGTTGCGTGCTCATCCGTTTTACTGGTCTGATTAATTAAAACCACTTTATTCATTACAAAATAAGTAAGTTTGTTTCGTGAAATTAAAAACCAATGGTTTATTTCCTGTTTGTGGTTATTGGCTGCTTGCGGTTTTACTAAACAATTTTAAAATTCTCAGTGGTTTCCTATTGCTTTCTTAATGGTACGATGCTTACACCATCGTCAAAATCAACATAAAGTTGTCTGATACCAAACTGCCTGCAGCTGATTTTGAACACTGGCACTGTGACACTGTGCTTACAATCTCTAATCCATAGACTTATTCATCAAGAGCACAAGAAAGAAACAATAACAGGGCACATTAATTCATACAGCTTTGCTTATCAAACCAGTCTGCAAGAAAAACCACAGCTCCAAAAAAATTAACCTCATACTGACTGCAAGTTATCAATCACAGCTCCAACTGATTGAACCTTATATTTTCTGAGAGTCGTGAACCGCAGCTCCAACATGATTAACCTCATATTGCCTGAAATTTGTGAATCACAGCTTTTAACTGTCAGGTGTCTCCGGTGCTAGTTCATTATTGACGCACACTGCCATGAACTTCTGCAATAAGAAACAAAAGAGAAAATTACCGACCAAACCTGATCTGAGAATTGTATACAATCAGCACAATCAACGTTAATTTTGTACAGTAAATAAACTAGAATATAAGAAACTAAAATGTGTTAATGCCATCAAGGTCTATTTCCAGTTAGGAGGTGGTGATGGTGGACAAATAACATCGATGTAAATAGTCTTGGCTCTGTCTGGCATAAGAGGCATACCAGATGTATGACAGATCCTGTCAACCAGTAGATGACAGGTACTATTAGCCTTAAAATGCTGATGTACATGTTAAAGGGTAGGGTGGGAGGCAAAATCTGAACATCATGGACAATCTAGAATTTCACAATGATAGCCCAACTATCTATACTACTTTTCAAGTTTTCACAAATGAAGAGGTAAAGAGGAAATCAAAATGTGGCAAACATTATCAAAGAAAAAAGGCAGACATGGCTTGGGCATGTTTGCAGAATACCTTGTGACACTTCTATCTTCAAATAAAAGCAGCCAATAATTATAAATAGGCTTCAAATACCTTCAGAGCTTCCTGTTTACGGAAGTTTTCATTTTTTAGTTCCTTCTGTAATAGCCATTTCTGAAAGACATATAACAACCAAAACTTATTATTTGGTTATATTACAATGTGATAACTACAGCAAGATCACACAGCAAATGGGAAAAAACAAGGTTACATAATTTTTCTTGTAGAATAAAGACCAATACACAATAACATATGTTCCTCTAATTTTTACAAATGTTATGTATGTATGTAAGCTGTACCCTACCAGGACGTCACACAAAACGATAAACACATGTGGATGAGGATCACCTGGGGAGAAGTCCCAGAAAGTAATGGCCTGGCTATATTTAGAGCCCCCGGCAAAAACCAGGGTGGGGCTTCAAATAATGAAAAAATTGCATCCCACATGGGGACGATTATAAATAACATAAATGTTATCAAAATTGTAAATCATTAACCATCCAATGAAGTAAATGAAATAAGTGAAACAAATAGTGCATAATGAATAACTATTACAAATCTACATCTATAAAGAAGTGTACCAACTAACCCTAAGAAAGCAACCAACGATGATAATGAATCAATGCTATGTTTGAAAATAAAATAATCTTCATCTTGTAAGGTAGAAGTTTGCAGATAAGGCACATGGTGCCAAACCCATTTCTTTAATAGATTAACTGGCATTTGGTGCGTGGTTTGATTAACATCAAATCAGCTGCCTTTACTTCCTGGGACAGTTCCTGGTAGCTGTTGTGGAAAGCAATGGCACAATCAATTAGTCTATAAAAATATGAAACTAACACCATAAGCAAATTCCACCTGGCATGGAAACAACTTTTTTCTTTCAAGCTTGTTTACCTGGATAAAAATCCTTCCTTAAAATTCAAAATGTTCTTTTCCAGGGTAAGTCTTCTCTTTACCCTTAAAAAAAAGGAACAGGTATGTTGCCTCATAGTTTACAGCTTGTCTGTGATATCTGTGCGAATTTTTGGGTACATCATCCTGCTGTGCTATGTTGAATGTTGAATTAGGAATCGACATCACAGCACTGAGGGACACTTCCATAAGTGCCCAGTCCCCATCTTCAGCAGCAAGCGAAAAGTTCCGATTCCAATGGTACCAGTAACCGTCTGATTGTATATCCGTCTCATCCTTCCCCTGAGTGTTGATCATCGGCCAGTTCCCCTGGTAACTCCTCGCAGCGCCATTCTTCTCAGACCATTTCTGTGCCTCCGAACTGTTCACCTATTCCCAAAGGGCCCTCAAAATATCTTGATTGTCATAAAATATGATGTTGTGCTATTATACGTCAAATAGGGCTCAGTTAGTTTATTCTTCAATTCAGTTCTATGTGTTTCTGTAGCATTTTTTTTTTTTTTTTTACAGACAGAATCCCCTGCCTAATCCTCCTTTCTCGTCCTTGGATGTGATGGCAATGGTGGAGATATCTTTGATTTCAACAAGCTCTCAATTAGTTGCATTTTGCATCATGCTCGTTAAGAAACTGTGTGTCTATCTTTTCCCCTCAATAGGAGGCCACCATAACCCAAACAACGACTAGAGTAAATAATATGTGATACAAGCGCATGAACTTATATGCTACATTCTTTTGCTTCTTCATTTTGTTCTTCTTAGCCTTACCAGCTGTAAGTCCCAGCAGAAAGTTCTTGTTGTTTGTTCACTTTATGTATGGTTCCTTAGCCTGAATTGCGCATTCACATTAATTTGACAAATCTGGCTTATCTGTATGCAGACTGCTGGTTCTTCGCCCCTCAGGCAGATGCAATCCGACTTGGAAGGGAAAACCCCGAATAATCACCTTTTACAACATGCCTGTTACGAGGGCAGTGGTTCTATTCTCCCCTCCCCCACCAAAAGCAGTCCCAGAAACCACATAGGGAATGTGTTACACTGACACTGACTACTTACAAACATTTCAAGCTTGCTCACTTCCAGTTTTTTCAGTTCTGTTGTGTAGCTTTTTGCTGGACTTTGTGCATCCTTCAAAATCTCACCTCGAAGTTCTCTCATTTGTTTATCTACTTCAACCATGTACTTTCTGATTAAGGAATCCTTTCCTTTAAAATTTAGCACAAGCTGTTGATAAATGAAGAACAAATTAGTACTAGTGTTGGAGTACTATAAAAATTAGAAATCATATTGCAAAAATAATGTACAACATATATCATACTGATTATTTTTTTTTTTATTACACAATAAAATGTCACTTAAAGAAAGTGAAATTTTTAGTCCAAACTATCCATTATGTGTGACTGACAAATGTTTATGTATGACTGATTATTTCTCATATATATGGCCAGATCTCATGTATGACTGATTATTTCTCATGTGTGACTGACAACTGTTTATGTATGACTGATTATTTCTCATGTGTGACTGACAACTGTTTATGTATGACTGATTATTTCTCATATATATGGCCAGATCTCATGTATGACTGATTATTCCTCATGTGTGACTGACAACTGTTTATGTATGACTGATTATTTCTCATGTGTGACTGACAACTGTTTATGTATGACTGATTGTTTCTCATGTGTGACTGACAACTGTTTATGTATGACTGATTATTTCTCATGTGTGACTGACAACTGTTTATGTATGACTGATTATTTCTCATATATACGGCCAGATCTCATGTATGACTGATTATTTCTCATGTGTGACTGACAACTGTTTATGTATGACTGATTATTTCTCATGTGTGACTGACAACTGTTTATGTATGACTGATTATTTCTCATGTGTGACTGACAACTGTTTATGTATGACTGATTATTTCTCATATATATGGCCAGATCTCATGTATGACTGATTATTTCTCATGTATATGGCCAGATCTCATGTATGACTGATTATTTCTCATATATATGGCCAGATCTCATGTATGACTGATTATTCCTCATGTGTGACTGGCTATCCCTTGTATGCAACATGCTATTTCTCCTGTGTAATTGGCAATAGCTCAAGAGCGATTGTATTTATGTGTAATTTATGTCTGAAGAAATCAAAGAGGATGGGTGTACCTGGGCTTGGTTTAATCCCATACCAATCAGTCTCTCTCTCTCTGTCTCTCTCTCTGCACAGTGGCTGTTCACTAGCCAAGAGCATCGCACAAATCCCAAAGACGATCAGAGGGATCTCCAAATCATCTGCATTTGCAGAGTTGAAAACTGACCTCACACCCCCCCTTCCCCTCCCCCAGGATAGGCCCTCTTTTAGCAAAATATAGCATATAGCAAAGAAGTCAATTGTTTAAAAGTAAATGTCAAGGTCCCTTTTCCATGCCTTTAGGCAGATTGGGAATATAGGGCTAGACCTATATTTTATAGACCAACTGGCATTTTGTGGGTGATGTGGTCAGCATCACCCCGGCCGCCTTTACTTCGCGGGACTGCACCTGGTACCCACTCATGGCTGGGTCGACCTGGCAGCCAATGCCATCCCCCCCACCCCAACCCCATGCTTCCCCTAAATGCTACTGTGAGCTAATACATTCATATCCTGATCTCTTAAATATTTGCACAGTCACGCAAACAACCATCAGCATTAACCATGCATCTTGTAAACAGGTTACTATAAAAAAGTCGGAAGGGTTATATTTGCAGGGAATCGCACCCAACCGGAAGTCTCAGTTTATCAGCTTCTCAGGGTGACAGATAGACCTAATATCCCTAAGGGAAGCAGAGAATTGTATCTCAGCTTTTTTACTAACATTTTACTACATCAGTGCTTCATAAGCAAAATATTCATCTCACAAACATAACTCGCTGCACTCACCTGATTAAATACTTCTTGTGCTCTGTTAACTCTCACTGAATTAGTTAACTCACTGAGGATTTCCTCCTCTTCCTCAGTGTAAGCTTTAATTTCATTCTATTGAAATATTTTGAATAGAAAGGATGTATATAAATTATTCAGGCCTGAACACCATGGGAAAATACTAAAAATAAACCAAGTGTAACTATTTTTTTTAATATGTTGCCTCTTTATAAAATAATACACTTAGCTCTGAACAGAATTTTGAAGCTGAGAGGATCAACTTCACTGAACCAGACTTTTTCCCATTTGGCTCAGTCTCTCTCTCTCTGCCTGCCTATTGGCTTGCACACAGTACAAATTATGTAGCTCCTACGATGACCCCCAAGAATCTCTGCACAAATGTCACTCATGAATGGAACAACAAACAACAAAGTCTATGAAGCAAGCCCATGACCTTCAGGACATAAGGCAATCACCTTAATTACATGGCCATGCAGCTTTTTATTACATAACGAGCCAAACTAACCAAACACATTTTATTTCAATGGGAAAAATACTCAAGACTCCCATTTCCATGCCAAGCAGCTTCTTCTCATAGTTCATGCTATATGTCATTGGTTTTCACTTCTATTCACAGTTTTCTGTGACATGTATTTTCAATCATTTTTGACAAAGATGTTCTTCCATGTCACACTGTCAAACTGTTCAGTATCTTCTCTCTTGGTCTTCCTCCACCCCTCTTCTCCTCCAAATGTCCTCCTTTCTTTTGTCAATATATGCTTATGCTTATTTTAGGCAACGCAGTTCATCAGACGATCGGCAGCTGAGCCAGGGCCCGATCAGTTGCTTGATATGCCGTGATGCTATGCAGTCTCAAGGTTCAGTGACTCCTTCAATCCATGTTCTTCTCGGTCTTCCCCTGTCTCTTGATGTTTTGATTTTCAGGTTGTTTGCTCTTGCTGCTGGCATCATTGGTTTCATTCTCATTAGATGGCCAAACCAATTCATTCTTTGTTTCTCAACACATTTGATGATGGGTGCTGTTCCAACAGTTCTTGTGATCACGTTATTTCTCAGTCGATCTCTTCTGGTTTTTTTCACAGCCTATCTCAAACATCTCATCTCACAGGTGGTTAGTTTTTCTTTCATGTTCTTTTGTCAATGTCAAAGTCTTACAATGGTAACCTAAAGTCTGTATAAATACTGTATTTATAATTTGTATTTTTGTCTCTATTTGGATACCAGGGTGTTTTAAAATTGGAGCAAGTTGGTACGTGACATTGTTGGCTTGTTGGATTCTCGTTTCAATCTCTGTATTTTACCACTGTGTGTAAAGATGCTTCCCAGGTTATTTAAATTCTTACACTTGTTTCAGACTTTGATCTCTGATTGTGACATACTGCTTGTGTCACGTGCTTAGGTAAGGATTTCTCCTGATGAACCAACAGCACTCTGAAATAGTTATAAATGTTGGGATGTTGGCTCGCAATGGTCTAGGCGGAATCCCGCAGCTCCAATACACATCAAACCTATTTCAGGAGTGAGGCGACACAAGTTATGTCACTACAGAATATAAACTCTTAGGCGCAACTTGGCCTGACTTCTTCACTACTTCAATTAAGCCCCCAGACTAGATAGTAGCTTATCCTAGTCAAGATAACACATTTAAATACATAGTATATCAATACTGCACACACTCCAGGCAACTAGAATTACCAGGAACAGTGAAGGATGGACACTAAACCAAGAAGGTAGATATAATAAAACATATTGTAATAAGTTCAACCAATACAAGGATAAGGCAAAAGACTGTTTCCACTGTTGTGGAATTATGGCACAGTGGACTAGGCACTTCGGGTTAAGAGTGACCACAACCTCTGGAATATACTCATCTGTATCCAAATCCGGTCCACTGTAGCACATCAATTCTGCATCTGGAATAGTTGGCACCAAGGTACTGTTCAGTTCCTCTACACTGTTCCTCTACATAAACTGCTACTAAATGTTTATATTCTAACACAGAATTGTCTCAGGTACACATTGAAATTAGGGTCACAAATGGGTGGAACTCTTCCACTGGTACTGTTGGTCACTACCTAGCTGTAGGAACAGACATGTCAGTAGGCCCCACGGTAGTATCTTCTGGCAGCTGGTGGTAAGGAATACTGGTGGTGTAGATATGTGGTGATTGTCAACCTGGCTTCCAGTAAACTTATAATCCCAAGCTCAGGATTCCTCCAGGAAACATAACTGTTCCTTAGATTTTGATAGAATTAAACACAACGGCAAAACACTTCTGCTCTCTCTGGAAGTTAGATTGAAAATAGTCCTGACCCAAGCATCTCTCTCGAAGAAAGTGAGGGAAAGATTAATACGCCCTAGCCGGTGATAAGACCTTTCACAAAAATTACCAATGAATCTCTCACTCACGATTTTAGATTCAAAACTATAACATTCCCAAGAGAATCAGGACATGTAGGAGTACTTACTTTGACATAAAGAAGCGTAAATATAAAGGAAGGACTATATACCTATAGAGGCAAGTCGACTTTTAAACTAAGCCTCATTTACAAAGAGGTGTCAAGGTCAAGAATAGTCCAAGACGAAGGGGTGGTTGGTCTGTTACGCGACAGTGATCTTTATGTCAATGGTTTGTTGCTCTCTACTTATTCTGATGACTTCTTTTTTTTTTTTTTAAGTATTGATCTTTATGAGATTATTGAGGCAACTGTTGCGTAGTTGGTTTATGTGGTCCTGCAGCTGTTTACTTTCACTGTGGAATATGCACTGATCGTCAGCAAAGAGCAGCTCAATGAAGTCCTCAAGTTTATCGACATCTGGTGGTGTCTTGTCCATTTTATTAATACTGTCCATGAACATTATAAAAAGTAAAGGTGAAAGAACACACCCTTGCCCTAGCCCTGATATTATTGGGAACCAGTCTGTGAGGCCAGCTATTGTTCTTACGACGCTTTCACTTTCTCTATTTCTCTAAATTTCCACGACTATGGTGTAATCCAGTTTTTTTTTCTCTTCTCATGACATGATCAAAAAATGTAGATGTCTCCTTCTGATGCCAAGCAGTATGTTAGGGATATTAGTTTTTTTTTTAGACCAACAGGCACTCAACTGATGAGGTTATCAATGCTGTGTGCTGTGAAAGCTAATTTCACCTTTTCCTAAAAAGGTCTACTACAACTATACTCAATCAATCAATCAAGAACTGACATCACTGCACTCAGGATATTCCCATACGTGCTCTGTACCCTTCTTCAGTAGCCAATAAAGAGTTGACATACTAATAGTACCAGTTGCAACCTGATCAAAAGCCAGTCTCTGTTTTCCCTTAAATGTTGAATATCATCCAGAACCACTGAAAAATTTTAACTGAGATGACCACAAAATGATGTGGTCATTTTAAATCTTCTTGTCTCAAACAGAATTTAAACCCATGACAACTGAGCTAGCAAGAGAGTGCTCTAGCTCCTTTACTACCACAGTTTTTGACAGATACAGTTAACCAACATATATTTACAGGTCGTATCTGATACTCTTAGGAGTTAGCAAGGACTGTCAAAGACAGAATAATCCATACACTTACTTTAAATTTAACATAAGTTATGCCGTGACTATCTGGTTGCTCTGTCAATCTTTGTTTATCCAAGATTTCACCAGTTTCTGATAAAGGCACTATTCGACGTGAAGACATTTTTTCATACCAAATGTACCATCTGGAACACACATAAAAAAAAATAAAAACATTCAGCATATTAACTCTTTCAGTATCAAATAATTCAGTACATTAGTTTGGTTTATACATTGAATCAACACAACGGCACAAGGATAGTAACCCACAAGTGCTTCGTTCTACTTCTAATTCAAGCCTGAGTCCGAAGAATCTCAGTGCAGTGCACAAACTCTGTAGCACGGGCAAGGATCCTGAAATACTTTAAGTAGATTTTTAACTCCAAATTTTGCCCAGCCAGTGCCGTTAAGCTACTCTTTTCGATGATGTTCTCGTCTATCACAGAAAGATGTTATACTTACTCTCTGTATCTGAATTATTAGTTTGCCAACTTCTGTTTCATAAAGTCTCTGTCGAACTTATCCAAACCTAATATGGTAAAGACTGCTTAAGGCAATCTCGGATGTGGCAAATTTATGTTGTGAAGAACAATCTGTTTATCCCTGGCAATTTTTGTCTTTGTCTTTGTAAAAAGTCAGTGCAATCTATTTATCAAAAAATTCAGGTCGTGCTGAAAGATTAAACGCGCCCTGGCTATACTATTTGATCTGCACAAGGCAACTATTTTTTTTCTTCTGATATGTGGACCCTTATTTTGGATGAAACATGTGTCTTGACTAAATACTCTAAGTAAGAGAATACATCATATAATGGCTGGGATTCAGGAGTAAGATCCAATCGATCATCCTGTCTCTGTATATGTATAGTTGAAAAATGCTTGAGCACAGAGTAATGGCATTATTTGTTTAAGACAAATTATTTGCCGCCTGTATTTACCCCAATTAACCCTGTCACTCCGAAAAGCTGCAAAACCAGCACTTCCTGTTGGTGTCACTTTCCAATCTGGAATGTATTCCATTTAATGCTTCACTCTGTTCATGTTTATTGGTTACCCTTTTATATATCTTTACATATTTCTGTAAACATTACAAAAATGTGTATAAATATATATTTTCTTATAATTTATTTGACCTGTCAAATACAATTTTAAAAATTTGTATAAAGTATTTTATTTTCAAGAAGTCCCCCAGGGTCATGACCACGTTTTGTTTTTTAAAGCATTAAGTTAAGTTAGTAGCGTATCCTTTACAGGACGTTGCAGAACCAACCTTAACAGCCCCTGGCTGTTGTGTGGTTTCTCTTGGCAAATTTACGTCCAGTAGTTTGCCATTGCTTTCTGGACGGTCGACTTTCTTGATACCACTGTCGAAACCAACGCAGGGCGCATTGCCCGCAACTGGGATCGAACCCGACATCCCGGCATTTCGAAGCGAAGCGTTCGCATTGACTTAGCCACAGAGCCGACTTTAAAGCATTACTGAGTCAAAAGGGTTATGATGGTGTAGGGCACAGAGGTCATGAGCCTGATGATTAAAGGTTGCAGGACTAGTGTAGTTTGGGTTAGGGTTAGGGTTAGGGGGTAGGGTTAGGGTTTGGGGTAGGGTTAGGGTTTGGGTTTAGGGGTAGGGTTAGGGGTAGAGTTAGGGATAGGGTTAGGGTAACACATGTAACTTTGAGTACTTGCCCATAATGACTGCCGCTATATCTGATAATTTTACCTCACTTTGTTTTGTGATTCGTGCCGTCTCCACTCCGTAAATGCACTGTAGCCAGGGGACTGAACTCCGACTAACCGGCCGTAGTTTAAAGGAGAACCCAGATCTGGCTTATTTGTATGCATACCGCTGGTTCTTGCCTCTCAGGCAGATGCACTCCGACTTCGAAGGAAGTTCTCAGTTAGTCGACTCTTACGACATGCTTTTGGGTAGGCAGTGGGTCTACCAACCACGGGGGATTTTGTGTAACTAAATTTAGTGGATGTCATTTTGACATACATTCAAAGGCGAATACATTCAAAATATATAGAAAAAAACACTTTAATTATGGTAACTATGATGATATAGTATATATACAAAACTCTCTCTCTCTCTCTCTCTCTCTCTCTCTCTCTCTCTCTCTCTCTCTCTCTCTCTCTCTCTCTCTCAGCCTCACCGACGGACTCTGTCGTGGATGGATAGCTCTGGTATTTGACAACATGTTTGGCTATTGATACCTAGCCGTAGTTGAAATTTGTGTCAACAATGTCAACTGCATGAGACAATTATTAACGTCTTTTTGAGAAACAAACTGTCCCTGCTGCTAGCGGTAATTACTTCTTTTTTTTTTTTAGGGGGGGGGGGGGGCGTTTAGGACATCACTTAAGAAATTAACAGGGGGACTGGCTGGCTCTGCACACCTTGGTAGATCTGATGCATGATAAGGCAGACGTGGTCAGGGCCTTATTATAGCACGTCTACAATTCGGAGCAAATGACCACCATAGTCTGGAGAGAGTGAGGCAGCGACGAGTGACGAGAGGATCTGGTCGTTACTCGTTGCACAGAGGAAAGACGAGAAGGACGTATCATCGACCGCTGCTGGTGCCATTGGTATTGGAACTTTGTGTTGGCTGCTAAAAATGGGAACGGAGCGCTTATGGGAAGGCCCCAAGAGCCGTGATGTCTATTCTTGAATTATTTTACCTCAGGACACCCCTGTTGTTGACGTGTTGTTGTTTTTATGTGCTGACTGGCAAATGAAAATAAAATTGTTGAAATAATATGAAAAATATACAAAATTCTTTAGTCCTCTTGCAAATTCTTTACAGTAAAGGGGAGGGCTGGAAAAGAGGGAAGGGTTTTAGGAACCTCTATAAGAGGGAAAAAAGTAATGCAATACAAAGTTTAAAGACAAAAACTAATCAATACTTCTAACCACTGGACTTGAGATGCAAAACTGCCGTGTGTGTTCCAGGTCCCTATTTGGTGTGAGGCGGAATGGGGGGGGGGGCCATGTCGTAAAAGGCGAATAATTAGTAGTTTGCAAAAATAGAATGTGTTGGGTAAAACAGCGCAGATGTCCCAGCCTAGCCGGTAGTCTGCAGCACACTACTTCAACCACCCTTTTAAGTGAACGGCAATAATATGAATGAAGACAAACAATATGGAACACAAAAGATATAAAATATTGCAAATTAATGTCATATGATCTTAACATTAAAATGGTTAATCAAAAGTTTAACAACTACCTCCTGCTGCTTTTGAAGGCCACACAGAGCCATGACAAGTCAGACCGTTGATTAAATAGTATGTACATAAAATGGTTATGATTTGTTAGTAAAAAGTTATTCAAAGAGGTTAGTAAGTGTTTGACCCCAAGGTTTTCAACGGGGCTGAGTGAGTGAGTGAAGTGAAAGTCCACTAGGACAGCATACTAAGTGATTAACAGCCGGTGACACAAAGCGTATGGTTTCATTACTCGGATACGAATTCCCCAGGTACAAATCCCAGTAACCTGGTTCAATCTTCTTCTTCTTCTTCTTCTACTTCTTCTTCTTCTTCTTCTTTTTCTTTTTCTTCTTCTTCTTCTTCTTCTTCTTCTTCTTCTTCTTCTTCTTCTTCTTCTTCTTCTTCTTCTTCTTCTTCTTCTTCTTCTTCTCCGTGTTCACCGGATGTAGTCTTTGGTTGGTCGTCCATCTCCGGACTTTAGTCTTGTTCCAGAACTTTAATGTTGCATGCAAATCAGTTTTACGGATAGGGCTCATTTGTATGCATACTCTAGGTTCCTTGCCTTTTAGACAGATGTATTCCGTCTTCGAAGGATGTCCCCAGTTAGTCAACTCCTGTTTCATGCTATTTGGGGAAGCCGTGGGTTCCCCCTCCCCCTACCCTAGAATGACACCCTGTGGCCCATACGGGGAGAGTAAAACCCACATGATGCTGTTTGTTCGAGTTGCTGATATTGCGTGTATGCGTGAGCAATTACAAAATTGGAAAAATAAAATTCCTACATTGTATACATTTTATACACTACTAATATTATAAATGACGATCTTGATGAAATGGTGGTGACGATAAGGATAATGGCGGTCCGATAGAGATGATATGTTCATGAAGGCTGGTGAGGAAAGCAGTATTTTTACAGGACCGACCAGCAGTGTGTTTTATAGTCTGTTATATATGACGTGATAATGTCAGCATATTCTGATAATCTGTTTTGCATCGCCTGTTTACTATGATGCAAAAGGCAGATGCTGTCAACAACCAGCTAGCCCCGCTGCTTTTTAAACAAACAAAAAACAAACAAAAACCCAAATGTCTTCATTCCAGCAAAACAGCAAATGATCAGTAGTATTTTCATCCATACTTTGTGCTATCATTGCCAAACATGGACAATGAATAAGGCACGAGAACAGAAAATAACTACAGATCATATGCGCTGTCTCTGTAAGGTCATTAACAACACAAGAAGTGATAGGGTTACGAGTACCAGCATTAGAGAGAAAGTTGGAATAAGACCGTGTCTGAATTGTAATGACAAAGAATGAAATAGTTAAGCCAGTTTCTGAGAAAGCAGTTAAATTACACTGCTTATGATTTTTTTTTCTTTTTACAACAAAACATCTGGGAGGAAAGTGATGAGAAGGTCAAAAAAGAAGATTAAGTGATTTTGTGTTCATTTATCTGTGTTAAATTCAGTTAGTTAGTTAGTTAGTTAGTTAGTTAGTTAGTTAGTTAGTTAGTTAGTTAGTTAGTTGGTTGGTTGGTTGGTTGGTTGGTTGGTTGGTTGGTTGGTTGGTTGGTTGGTTGGTTGGTTGGTTGGTTGGTTGGTTGGTTGGTTGGTTGGTTGGTTGGTTGGTTGGTTGGTTGGTTGGTTGGTTGGTTGGTTGGTTGGTTGGTTGGTTGGTTGGTTGGTTGGTTGGTTGGTTGGTTGGTTGGTTGGTTGGTTGGTTGGTTGGTTGGTTGGTTGGTTGGTTGGTTGGTTGGTTGGTTGGTTGGTTGGTTGGTTGGTTGGTTGGTTGGTTGGTTGGTTGGTTGGTTGGTTGGTTGGTTGGTTGGTTGGTTGGTTAGTTAGTTAGTTAGTTAGTTAGTTAGTTAGTTAGTTAGTTAGTTAGTTAGTTAGTTAGTTAGTTAGTTAGTTAGTTAGTTAGTTAGTTAGTTAGTTAGTTAGTTAGTTAGTTAGTTAGTTAGTTAGTTAGTTAGTTAGTTAGTTAGTTAGTTAGTTAGTTAGTTAGTTAGTTAGTTAGTTAGTTAGTTAGTTAGTTAGTTAGTTAGTTAGTTAGTTAGTTAGTTAGTTAGTTAGTTAGTTAGTTAGTTAGTTAGTTAGTTAGTTAGTTAGTTAGTTAGTTAGTTAGTTAGTTAGTTAGTTAGTTAGTTAGTTAGTTAGTTAGTTAGTTAGATAGTTGGGTCATCATCATTGCACTCCGGACATGTCCATGGGTGCTCAGATTCTCCCCTCAGTATGAACCCCAACGTCCGATGGCTAATAGTACCAATTCTATGTTGATTAACACGTCTTCTGGTGTGTCTGGTGTGCGTCTCGTTTTTTGCTATGCCGATCTTCCGAAGTCTGCCATTCTGGCGAGTGATGTGGATTCATTGCCCCCAAAGTCCTAAATCCTTCCCTTTTCTCAGAGGGCATTATTAATATCAGCATGATAAATTATATCAGCACGGTAGTGATAGCGGATCCAGCCTACCTATCATCTCTTTCATTTCCATCGACGCCTGCCTATCCCGGAACAAAAATAAAGGTGACTCCACGCACAGTGGACTTTTGTGTTCGATTCAGTGTTCTCTGATAGTCAATTAACATCCAGCTTTCTTTGACGATTCAAGCACAATTTGAATAAATATTGGCAGATCGAGTTTTATATAACCCCGGTTAGGAAACGTCGGGTTAAAATCATAATTATCTGGTAAAAGGGATAAATGAATGAAATTGTACTCCACCAGGATCACACAACGAGCGATACACACCCGATGACATAAAGTGCCGCCACAATTTGGATGAGAATCACACCCGTGTGCGAGTCACAGAAACCCCTTTCAACCCTAGGTTGTATTAGAGACCCCCGACAACAGCCAGAGCGGGACTTTAAAATAACGAAAAATTGCGTCCCATACTGGGTCGATATTAAATCTGCTCCAGTCAAAACGCTTATTCTTCACTTTGTCTATGCAACACTTATCGTCCTTTATGCTCACTACAATACTGAACATAGTCAAAAGTGCTTCCTATAATTCAGCCTTTCCCACTGAAAGTTAAAATGCCAAAACGTATTTTGTGGACTTTTTACTACTAACCACTTTATTATACTATACATAATCATCCTCCAGTTGGAACATTATACGTCGCATAGGCCTCGCAGTCTATTCTCATTCTTTTCTACCCGTGCAGTCCTCTGCAATCTCTATCATTTTCAGCCTGTGCCATGCACAGCGCTGTGTAATTGACTCTGTGTCATTCAAGATCTTAACAAAATTCAGCATTTTCTTTACGTCACTACGCCATTCTTCCACCTAAAAAAAAAAAATCTCAGTATTAGTTATCTGCATCTTTTCATTTCTTTATGTCTCATCATAGACCTCGGAAGACTTAATTTATGCAACAACCAACTTTTTCAAATATTTCAATGAAATTGAATGCTACTACTAGTAGTACTAGAGTGTTAGTTACTTTATGCTCTTCTTTCACGATCGCATGTTGTAAGATTAAAATCTCATGGATTAAAATCAAACATATACATATACTAGAAAACCTGTTCAACACAGTGATATTATGGCATATACATTCACGCTGAAACCAGCACTTCAGTGTAGGGTGGGTACCCTGTTGGATGATTTCTTTCTGAAAGTTTGTTATCCAATGACTGAAAAACGCACTGTTCGGGTTAGAACAAGATAGGGGCAAGACAAGGAAACCATGTTCAACCATTTAACACAACTAAATTAGGACACCCATACAGTGCAAGGATGCCAAGCACAGAAACGAAAATATTATTCATCATCATCATAAACCATTTCTGCCGGCAAGCACCGTGGAGGAATAATTTGCGATCTAGTGCTCGTTGGCTGCAACTGGCTATTGTCATGTCGTGATGGCGTAGAGTGTCTTTAATGTTGTCGATCCATGTTTTCCGCTTCTGTCCTCTTGCTCTTGTAGTTAATCTTCTGAGGTGTAGTGCTTGTGATAGTATTTGATCTTGCTGCATTATAACGAGATGGCCAAAACCACTTGATCTGCTGTTTCTCGATGAATCTAGTACAATGTATCGTTTCCCCAATTTGCCTGATAGTTTCATTATTCACTCGATCTGGGATGGTTAGTTGGCAGCTTTTCTTAGGCACCTCGTGTCGCTGGTGGTGATTTTGCGTATATGGGCTTTAGATAGTGTCCATGTTTAACACTGGTAGCTTAATGTTGGAATGAATATGCTATTAATAATATGTCTCTTTGCACTCATAGTTATACTTTGAAAAAATAATAACAGCACCAGCGAATTACATATCGTCAATGGCCTTGACAGCAGAAATAACTATGAAATTGCAACAATATCTTAATGTCGTGAATGAAGAATATAAAAATAAAGCGAATAATATGAGAATCAACACTGAGAGACAAAAGTAATGATAAGAGGAGAAATTAAGCAGAACGTAATATAGCAAAACAATTTTAAACAATAAAAAAGACCCCAATATGTTCAAGGAAACATCTCATACCAAGCATATTCATTTCAGGCCTATGCTGCCAATGCCAGAAGTGGTCAATCACAACAAATCAGAAAAGAAAATTAGTAACCATGGGAATGGGGTGGCTGAGAAGGGCTGCAAGAGTGACCAAATGAGATGAAATTAGGAATAAGAGAACAAGTCGGCACAGAATCAATTCTAAATCAGATGGTTTGCACACTTAGAGATAATGTCTTATGCCACACAAGATAAATCCGAAACATTAAAAGGGGAAGTAAAGAAGAGGAAGGCCCTTGCAGTTTCAAAGTAAACTGCAGGACAAACTGGGGATAAGATGATCAGAGTTCTCAGTCTCGTTACATTACGAGACTGACAAGCTACTTGCTGCACTACCCATGGAGTCTCTCTGGCGAAGTGGTCAAGCTGTTTGTCTTGAGTTCCGAAGGTCGTGGGATCATTTCACAGTTGTGCCGTTCAGTTCACGAGTGCAGTACGGAGATCTATGGGGATCTTCACTGGAGCTATGGAGTTAATGCTTTATGTGACTCTTTCAGAAAAAGGCTAACCGTTTTGCGGGTTGAAAGAGCCATATTGGATAAAGCCCGGTGTAACGAAGTAGGTCTACCCGACTTCAACTTTAATACAACTATCAGATCAATACGACCGTTCCAGATACACATCTACCTCCTAAGAAGTTGTAACTTGGCTCCCGTTACACCCCCAGCATCAAAGAATCTCAATCCGGATGACTGAAGAAAAAGGCAGATCTGTGACGGCTACACCAGCCAGGTGAAACCTGCAGTTTTGTACGAGTAAGGACAATATTCGGACATTGACGCGTTTAATCCCATCAGGCACAAATCCAAGAAACCCCGTTAAACCGTAAGGTTATGTTAGGGATAACCTAACGCGCGACTCATTAATCATCGCTCTAAAGTCCCGGGTAGTTAATATATCTATTGGATATTTGTTTTTGCAGGAATGTAGGTGTGCTGTGAAACGAACAGGCAGACATACTGGCTGGTGCTGCATCACATGGTGGTGAATTGATGCATGAAACGCTAGATTTTGTATGGTTCGTTTTAGAGCAAGTGAACAGTGTGGTAGCACAAACAGATCATCATGGTGTAGGGAGAAGGGGCTGCGAGGAGTGACCAGGGTATCTGGTCAACGTTCAAGGGAAAGGTGAGGCAGGATATACAGCCAATTTCTGGTGCCATCAGAATTAGAACTCTGCTCTTGCTGCTGAAGATGGGGACATAAAGCTTATGGATGTGTCCTGAGTTCTGTGATGTCAATTAATTATTCAATGTGTAGTAATTTAATCAACGATACCATCTTCAGACCGTATGAATTCCATTTTTGGGACATGTATAGATTGTTAAAATCTACTTTTCATTATTTTGTAAATATATGCTTGTCAATTACTTTTGGTAATGTTTTAATAATAATAAAAATGCAACGCGAATCAGGTTGAACACGTCTCCTACTGCCATTTGACCTTGTGGCCTCTCGTGGCCTGTTTATTTTATGTCGAGAAAATAAAATTATTTCTTTTATATCATTGAACTATTTTTTTTTGCCGATTAATATCAAATTCAAATATTTATTTACAACAGATGTTAAAACGATAACATGTTTGTAAAAGCATGAGACGGGGCACATCTTGACTGCTACTACTGTAGATAGACACATGTCCGAGCTTCCTGTTCAATGTCGGTCGTCGCGCAGATATTCCGTCTGGGAGAGAAGAACTAAGCTTCACCACCATTTCAACAGTTTGTTTCTGAAGGATTACAACCGATAACACGCCTTACTACCACATCCATTTTGTGATTTACACCTTTGACAGTCATTAATGCCATCAGAGGTAAATTGAAGTAAATATTTGTGTCTGAAGAATTTGTCGGCCTTGGGGTAGGTAGGAAAGTTCAGTTCTGAGGTTCAGTGGAGTGGACGCATATGGTCACAGTCACTGGTGTTGATAAATCTTCGCGATGATCAATGATCTAAGAATTGAAGATGATAATATCAAATGTCAAACTCATGTTGGACCACATATCTGTGTTGACCGTTTTAACAGTTTCTCTGGCTTAGTTTAATGTACACTAGAGACACTACTGTTCTTATTCAGGTCAAGTCTTTTTATTCTTATGTATATAACTTCTATAGTATAGTTATACTATCTTTTTGCTCGCCCCAGTTTCTGAGCAGTTTCTCTCCAAAATAGTATATATTATTTAATTTCATTATTATGATTAAGTGCAGTGCATGGGTATATGACTCAAATGACTGTTGACATTTAAGTTGATATTTGAAGAGGAAGCAAATGACATAAAATAATTAATGAATTGAAAGTACTAACTGTTAATAATATGTTTCTATCCAATCCCATATAAGTATAAGTATATATCTCCTTTCTCATTCATTTGAGGCCAACCAGTCATTGGCCTCAAATGAATGAGATAGGAGATATACACTTATATAGGATAGATAGATAACATATTATGGCTCTTCTTTCAATACAGGCTGGTAGCTGGAAAGCCGCCGATCGGCTTAGTGGGAGTTCTCTCCCTTGGCTGCATTGCAAACACGGAGCGGACAAGTCACGAATCAAATGACATACTTACCTATCATCATATGGTTGCGTGTACGGTTGCGTAGTCATCATACAGTGGCGTAGGGTTTGGGTTAGGGTTAGCGGCGTTAGGGGTTGGGTTAGGGTTAGTTAGGGGTAGGGTTAGTTAGGATTAGGGGTAGGGTTAAATGTGAAAATTGTGACGTAGGAGTTCCAAATAATGGCCGACAATCTGATGCTTGTGGGAGTGGCACCACTGGAAGTCTCCCAAATATGACGGCAATAGCGCGCGACTGGTGCCCAATCGGTGGCGACTTGTCCATTTGAGTAGCATCCACAGTCCTTCAATTGTTTGGTTGTGTATGTGACTGTGCGCGATTATTTGGTACTCCTGCGTCAAAATTGTCACGTCTAACCCTAAATCTTACCCTAACCCTACCCCTAACCACGCAAATATATCGGTCATTAAGTCATAGAGATCTGCAGGAGTCAAATCCGTGGCAACTAATACCACTTTTATATAAGGATATATTTACTTTAAAAAAAAACCAGATTTCCCCGAAGCGTCAAATAAACACCCAGATCTGGGGGAAACACCCAAGCATTGGCAGCCCTGTTGTCGACCTCACTGTCTTGTTTGATTCGTGACTTCTCCGCTCCGTGTTTGGAATGCAGCCAAGGGAGAGAACTCCCACTAAGCCGATAGGCGGCTTTTCAGCTACCGGCCTGTAGTGAAAGGAGAGCCCATATTATTATTAATATTATTAACAGTCACTTAAAAAAAAAAGGCTTGTAAAAGCTAAAAGTATGAACACTAATGAACCAGTCTTAAAATATGATAGTAGGTATTATTGATATCAGTATCAGTATTTATAATAGTTTTATATAAACACCCCTGTGAACATCCGAACACAACGAACCTGGTTGCTGTAGATCTTTGTCATAATCATAATGTTATGTAAAGGGGGCTTCATATATTTCTGTGCTATAAATTACATTTGAAATATTTTGTAAGGCCACATTTCCTCAAATTCAAGACGCTGCCATCATGTATAAGACACATCTTTAATTTGGGACTGGAGGTGTGGATAAAAATAATATGATTACATATAAAGCTGTTAAACTCACGTTTTAATAGAAACACACTTAGCACAAATTTTGGCAACAGCAGTCCTGAAACCCATGCTATAATTGTGGAAGAATTTTCTTAACTTGTCTGGGTCTTTAGTAACATTTGCCATCACCATGGCCATTGGCTGTTAGTCCCATGCCTCCTCATAGCACAATAGAACACTGTCACATGGAAGAGTGTCAACATTAGTGTTTAGAAAGAACTCATTCATTAAAGTATCTAGGAGTTAGTTTTGATTGTAGTCTTGCATTTTATGAGCATGTCAGCCATCTGAGAATGAAGGCAAAAAGAGGTTTGACGGCGCTAAGGATCATGGCTGTGACAAAGGCTGAGGGGCGTCACCTATTTTTCTAATAACTGGGTCTTATCCATCCATTCTGTAATTGAGTACGCTCTGGCGATTGTGACTGTTAGCCATACACAAGAGAGAGAGAGAGAGATAATAGATCAGATACAGAATGAGACCATGCACATCATGGCTGGGTAGGGTAGAAGATGACATAAAGCAGGTCTGCAGTCTTACAGATATCCATCCTGGTGAGGAGTGGATACCAGCGCTCAATCTCATCTTCTGTGTCGTCACATTTGACAGGAGTTGTCAAGAGCAGAATCCTGTTCTTGTCACCGCCGAGGTCAGCTCGCTAATCTGTGACGAGTCAGATGAGACAGATGTGCTGATCTTCACAGACGGGTCAGTTATATGAGGACATAAAAGTTCATAAGCATTTACAGCTTTTAGGCAAAACAGTTCAAGAAGCTAGTGGTAGTGGTGCTTTCTCCATGACTACAAGCAGCATGACGATGGAGGTGATGATGGTGACACATTTCATGTGGCTAGAATCACAGTACTCTTCCCACATGTGTATGCTGAGTGATTCTTTCAGCATGATCCAGCTCGTTATGCATACAGTGGGTTGAGTCATTGCAAAACTCTCCTGTGTGTGCACTTACCTTCATATTTGTCCCAGTGCATGCAGGTGTTGTTGGCAGTTAAAGAGCTGATAGACTGGCAGGTTCTGCATTTTTGCAGATGGCCGGCCCATGTATCACGCAGACATTGTCAGTGCCTTTAGAGAGTTAGGATGTTCTGAGGTTTTTGGAAGCAATGTGTCCACATCACTGCTAAGAACACGAGAAATTGGAGTAAAGATGGGCACAGCCAAGCATGAGAAGCACACTGGATGCACACAAAGTCTTGTAATCCAGCATAGGATTGGCACTATTAACCGCACAGCGCTGAGGAATATGTCGAAGGTGGAATCTAAGCACCTTTGGATGTGTCCCCAGTGCTGTAATAATTCAGATAACTCATAACTTGGATGCACAAAAAATACAGCTTGCAGGGCTATGTGTTACCTCCTTGATCTTCCAACCATGGAAGTGAGAACAGTTATCTGCCGAGCTTGTGCGTATCTGCCTACTGGTGCCGATAGGCACCATGTATTGCACAGCGAGGCTGGCAGGAAGAAGGGTTGCAAGTTGAAAAGATGAATATCCTGGGTGGGTAGGGCTGAGGACAGTATTCAGCAAATTTGTTCAAGTGAGGACATAGAACCTGGTGTAGAATGGGTATGAGTGCCAGCAGAATGATGTACATTACTTTTCAGTCTGCATTAAACAGGATAGAGAATGCAGACCAGGCCCATCGGTGGTTGAGCAAAGTTCAAGCCTTAATTTTGGAAGATTCTGTCCACGTAGGTGCAGTCATCTACACCAACAAATCCATAATTCCACACATACAAATTTAATATGTTTTCACAGTTCTAGTTCGAGGGAAAACTGTAAAAGACGATTGCATGTCTTTTGTCTCCACTACAAGTATGAAGGTGATGGCGGTGACAAAAACAATGGTGTGGCTAAAGGCACACGTTTTTCTCATTCATTCTTTCTATGTGATTCCTTAAGCCTGCTTAAGGATGAATTTGAAGAAAATTGTTTGAGTCCCTGAGGAAATCTCATTTGATAGGAATCGGTTTCATTTTTATGCCAGGACACTCAGGGTTAGGAGGGGATGAACAAGTGGATTAGTTTGCTGGCAGGACAACAGTAGGTACAGGAAAAGTAATGGAAGGGCCAAGATTCTCAGTTGCTTTCAAGGAGGCAGGACGAGAAGGTGATTCAGTAGATGACGGTGAGTTAGTGACACTCAAAAGACTACAAAAACTTCAGGTCAGAAGATGTGTCACCAAACATGAGCACTATACAGCTAGCCAAAGAAAAATAGTAAACTATCTAACTGGTGTTACCAGTCGCCACACGCTGGAGGACATACTGAATATGGGATCCTAGCTCTTATGGACTTATCTGATGGGCTATTAATTCTGTCAGTTAAATAATTAACATGAGTTTTTTTTCCTCTAGTTTTATATAATTTTAATGCATTAAATCTGTTGATGGCCTATATATTCTCTGGTTCTTAAAATGAATTAGCTCCTTTGTGATTAGTAGTAATAATTTTAAAAATTCTGGGGGGGGGGAACAGAGGATGTCCCCTTTTCTACTCTCAATATGAGTGGGATGCCCCATTTTTGGGTCAAGATATTATGGTCACCCTAATTATTAGTCAGAGTTGATGGTATTATATTGGGCACATTGTGAGGAGAAATGTATAGAGAATCACCAAACAGGCTGTGAAATTTGAAACAAGTCGATTGAGGGAACTAAGGTGTCCAAGATAGACCCTGAGACAAATATTGATGAGAAAGGATAAGGGTATTATACTAGATTTAGTCCATGATATCAGAGGGATTGCAAGGATAAAACAGAGTGTAGGTCTGGACTGCAAGCCTTGTGGGACATAATGGCACAGCATGATGATGAGGATCAGTGCTGTCTCAAAGTGTCTCTGTCAGTTGCCTTCACACTACACAATTTATTACTTTTATTTTAAGCACAACTTAAGCACTTAACTTTTTCAGCACCAGTAGGTTTCACGGGGGATGCCAAAGTAAAGACAAATAAAAGTGTAGCTCTGCTGCACTGGTCCTAAACACATGGGTGTAAACTAAACAGCAAGAGCCATCACAGAAACTCTGCCAGATGTGGTTTCATTGTTTGGTTTGGATTTCCAGGCTGGGTATTTGGGAGACCGACCGGGCAGGGAAAAGGAAAGAAAGAAAGAAAACCATGATAAAAAAGCTTGAATGCATAACTTTGCAAGTTGCAATACACACATTGGTAGCTATGTTGGAGAAGCCAGATTTCTATAGTTTGTTCAGACTGAGTGTTTAACTTAAGTGATCACATTATGCATAGAGGAAAATCATTTGAATTTGTGTGAACTCACACACTTTTATTTTACTTGGGATAGAGAGAGAAAAAGTAACGGCTTAAACTGAAAATTAAACATGTGTGAGTTGCAGAGTGCAGTGGCTAGATGCTTACATTATAGTTCAGAAGTCTTGGTTTTAAATCAAGGTTAGTTTCTGATTGACCTTATGCTCCCAGTTTGACCCAGCCTAAAATAGGTACTAGTAGATCTCTAGGAGAGTTGAAAAAATAAAAGAGTGATAGGTTGTTGGCCACATCAGTCATTGAGTATAGACTGATTGATTAAAAATATAGGTCTATTATCATATGCCTGATGTATTAATGGAGTGAAAAGGGGTTTGGGGAAAGGATACATCTTTGTGTATGTAACCCAAACGCAAGTAATATATTGTTTCTTCTATTATTTTCTGATTTAGATGTCTGACACTGCCGGGCCAGCCAACAGGTTCAAATCGTATAAAAACAAAGCTTTGGACTCTCAAGAATTAAGAAGACGACGAGAAGAAGAGGGTATACAGCTTCGAAAACAGAAACGCGAAGAACAGGTAATTGACAAACAATTACTGACATTATAGCGTTCAGAATATTCACATCTTTTTCTAAAATAGAGAGCAGCTTACTGTGAAAGTTTTGACTTCTTGTCTATATTTTTGATTAATTGTTTGCTGTCAAGTTATTAAATCTAGAGCAAGATTTGCTGTAGATACTGAGCAGAGTATTCAATATTTAAGATATTCCAAATTGCAAGAGCAGTCTTAACTGTACTATCACCCAAGCTGGTCTGTCTGTATAGTTAAACAATAATAAGATCCATACAGAGGTTGATTAGAGAAGCCAAAGCTGCTATTCTACTCATTATACCAGTTTAATTGCAAAGAATAAAATGGAGAAATATACTGCGAGCCCTACATGACATATAATGGTACAACAGGAACATATGTCAGGAATGTCATTTGATGAGTAACATATAAACAACCTGTTGTGTGTTGATGATATAGTTTTGATAGTTGAAAATGAAATACAGCTGAACGGAATGATGGGCATACTTGTAGCAGTAAGTCAAAACAAAGGTCTTGGTATGAACAGTGGAAAAACAGAAGTAATGGTAATTACGTGCCCTGTACAACATCAAAGTAAATTGAACAACTCTGTGTCAAGTCAATATGTTTAAGTACTTAGGTACTCTGATACCATCAAATGGAGATATATTAAAGAATTTGATAAAGTGTATTCTATGCAGTCTGTATCTCCTTCAGTTGATGTGAGAATTGTTAAGAGATATAGTCAGTCTGGAAGTACGAAAGTGAATTATGGACCATCATTCGATTAGTGACATATTTTTGTAAAATTTCAGAGACTGGGTTTTAAAGACAGGATAAAATTCTGTTCAGTCTACCAGTACCAGGCCGTCCTGAGTTTTTCAGCTTTAAATTCCATTATGGTTGACTTGTTAGTAACAGTTTACAAGTACCAGGCCGCCCTGAGTTTTTCAGCTTTAAATTCCATTATGGTTGACTTGTTGGTAACAGTCTACAAGTACCAGGCCGCCCTGAGTTTTTCAGCTTTAAATTCCATTATGGTTGACTTGTTGGTAACATGAACTTGTTTCTGTGAGTGCTATGTCTGACAAACGTGCCAAGAAACCTTAAAAGCCATGAAAGAAAACATAATAAAAAAAACTTCAAGAACTGAATATTGAAGAAGGTTGGCTATTAAAGACGATAAAACACAGAAAATTGAAATATTTTGGTCACTTGAAACATCACGAAAGTTTAGAAAGAACAATAATGAAGGAGTATTTGTCTGGAAAGAGAGAAAGAGGAAGGCTAAAAAGAAGATGGGATGCAAGATGCGGCAGATGATCTCCTCATGGGTGTATCAGACGCTGGACATCTTGTTTGTGATCAAGAAGTTTTCCCGAGGGTTTTTATGGGAGGAACAAGGTTTTGCAAAGGGCATGCTACTGACTGACTGGCTATGTCTGACATACTTGTCAGCAAACTTTCCCCATGTCTTTGCTAACCTTTTTGTTCATTGTATCTGCTACATTTGTATTTAAATCTGCAGGCTCAACTACCACATTCATAAAATAAAAGTCCCCACAGTGAGCCTGTCAATCAGGACCACAAACACCTGAGCACATTCTGCAGACCTACCCACTCTACATACAACTTCGAAAAGACACCTGGCCTCAAGAGCAAAATGTGCAGATCAAGCTGTGGGGAACCATGAAGGACTTGCTGCTGACATGCGAATTCGTCGAGGCAACCCATCTTATGCTCTGACCTGAGCATATGAAACTGAACGCAAAGAAGAAGAAGAAGTATTTAAATCTCAGATTAGCACAGGTTCCAGATCTTGTATTTTCTGTCATTCTGCGGTTGTCAGTAGCTAGCAGACTGATTTCCATTCTTTCCTGTCATACCTCATTTTCGCCCATTAACTAGGTATTGTACACTGAGCCATGACTCTTGTCAGCCTCCTGTAAGTATTGTCTGATTTGCGACTGTCACCAAAAATCAATACAACTTATGTGCTGTAGTGTAGATTTTAGATGGGAAAAAAAAACAATTTGTCTGTTACTTCTTTTCTTCTCAGATTTTTAAGCGCCGGAATGTTGCTGTGCCAGAAAACGACGAAAGTGGCTCACCAATAGATGTTCAGGACTCTTTGGTATCATCCACTGTAAGTTGTCAATACTAGTTGAAAATTAACAAGATAACCTGTCCCAAAACTAATTTTACACATTTAAAAAATAAACCTTATCTTATACAAACAGTTTAAACAGATCAACTGATCCATAAATATAGTCATTAAATATGTTTAGTAGTGAACAGCATCGGTTGGAGTGACCTGAAAATATTTTAGATTAAACTGTATGCTGCCTGAAGTAGAGAATGTACATAATGTTTGTTAAAAAGTTTCCAGCATTGTGCCATTTCCAGTATCAGCGACTTTTCTTCAACTCCTGTTTCAGAGTAAATTTCTCTTCAGTCTTTTAATGAGTGTGGAGTTAACATTCTCATTAGGGTTGATTTTTATAATTGACCAAGGGCTCATATGTTCAGCCTTCTTATAGTTTTTTTTCACACACAGTTATGAAAATCATCATTAAAAAAAAATCCCCCATTAAAATCAGATCAAATTCCTAAGCTGTATCTTCCCCCCCCCTTTTTTTTTTTTTTCTTTTTGGCTAATAGGATCTTTTGAATAAATTAAATGCTGTTTATTTATTTTTTTCCCCTTTTCCCAAACATGGAGATAGGGCCCCTTTACTTCATTTTTTTGTCTATTGTTTGTCTTCCATCTTAATCTGCAAGTGATATAATCACATTTATGAGTGCCTGGATGGCTGACTAGTCTTGGCATTGAGTGACCCTTTGGGGAATTTGTGGGCATGGTAAAAATTTGGGGTGAATAAATTAAAGGAAACAGTTTTATGATCTTTTTTTTGGGTTTTTCCCTTTGTTGAGGCCTTAAGGCAGTAAATTTATATTAAACTCAAATGATTACTTTCAGGGGGCATTATCCCAGAAATGGTTGGGAAAGGGTTTGTACGTAATGTGGTTTGAAGAACAAACGTGGGAACCCCAGAAAAATTTTTGTAAATTTTTTCAAGAGGTCGTCTCCACAAATGATTTATTTTTTGTGTTCATAGTCTATAGCCATACTTTGTGAGTGGGATCATGAAGGGGATTTTCGGGGTTTCTCTTTTCCCTGTTAAACTTACTGGGGTTTTAAAAGGGAAAGGTTAAAAGTCAACATTGAAAGTGGGAAATCCTAATAAGGGCAATCTCAGGTTTGAAGCTAGTGAAAAAAACTATGGGGAAAAGATAAAGCAGACAATTTTGAATTTGACATACTATAAACTGAAGAAGTGAAACATTTTAGAACAAAAAAAATTTTTTACTTTTATTTTTGGTGTCATCCCCTTCCCCCTTTCCTGTTGGAAAATTCTTCCCGTACAAGTTTTTTTCAATACACATTAAGAAAATTTACTTGCTTTGGTTAGAAGTCCCCTTTTTAAAACCCTTAATGGAAAAATTTCCCGACTGTAATTCTTCTTTTTCACATGGATAAATCCTGGGTGGCCCCCGTTTCTTTTGTAACATGTAAAGGCAAAAGTTTTTCAAAGGGGTTTTTTCTTCCCTATACCAGGCCATTCCAAATTTTTTAAATCAGGGGCCCAAAAAAAATTGGAAAAAGGGAAACCTGCGGGCCCCAGCCCCAAAAAGAATGTCATTAAAACATCCAAAAGGCAGGGATACGTGGACCCTTCCCCTAGGGCCCCTGGGGGCCCGATTTTTCCCCAAAATTTTGGGGTGCCCCTTTTTTGAAAAAAACCTGTTTTCAAACAAATTTTGGAAAGCCCACAGGGTTTTAAAATTTTTTCAATTTAAGGTAATTTTCTAAATTCCCTTTTTTTTTAAAATTGTAAATTTGCTAAATTTTTTACATTTATTTGAACATGACCCTCTAGAATTTTTTTACTTTATTTGAACTAAAATTGCAAATTTTATACTTCATGTATTTTGAGCAGTCATAGACTGTGCTAGGATGCTGTGCACATTCTTTTACTTAATTGTTTAGAAAACCATAGTCTAAGAAGCTGTTGTCTTCCTGCTGCAGAACCAAACCCACCCATCGATGAAGTGATACAGACTGGTATTATCCCAAGATTTGTGGAATTTTTACAGAGAGAGCATTTGGGCTTTACGGTTTGGGTTTTGGGATTTTTTATTTACACCAATCAAAATTTTTTTTTGAAAGTTAATTAAGAATCAAAATCATAGGAACTCAGGACAATCCCTTTAAATCTCTGTCCCCTTTTTCATGAGCAAGAAAGTTCCCAAATTTCCCAAAGGTACCACCCGGCTGATTTGCCCCTCCGTTTCGCCTTTTTCTGAGGGTTGGGTTCAGGGCCTCTGAAGCGATGCTCGCCACTCTGCCGGGGGATACCTTCTCCACCTTTTTTTGTTTATTCAGTTTTTCAATTTTCACTCATTTCCCCCAGCAGAAGGAAAGTTTACTGCCTCCCCCTTTATTTCCCCAAATAGACCCTGGTGATGTTCCTAAGGGACATCCATTGCTTTTTTCTATGAACCCCCATTACTTCGTCTACCCTGAACCCGAACCCCTCTGTATAAATACACATCCATTTTTTAAATTTTATAACCTTGGGGTTTTAGCAAACGGGGCAAAAAATTTTGCCCAACCCAAATTTTGATTAAAATTTTTTGGGAAAAAGGGGCAGGCCCATTTTGGTTTTCCAACCCCTGTGAACCGGGGTTTTTTTGTTTTTTTTTTCCCTTTTACTTTGAAGCCCCCCTTAATTTTCCTCCTTTTTTTACATTGGGGGGGGGGGGTTTTTTTCTTTCCCTTTTGAAATAAAGGGGGGATTTTTGGGTGGGTTAAAAAAAATTTTTTTTACCAAACCGAGCAGAAAATAAAAATTTTTTTTAAAAAAGGAAAAAATTTTTTTTTATTCATTTGGACAAATTATTTTTTTGGAATTACCTTTTTCCCCAAGTTTTGGAAAATACTTTATTTTTTTAAGGTTTATTTTACGGAAGGGCCCAAATTAAAATTCAGAGGAATTAAAAACCCTTTCTGAAAAAACCTAAACATTGGAAAAATTGGGTAAAATTTGTTTGTTAGTTTTAAGGAAACAAATTTGCCAAAAATTAAATTTTTTAATTAAAAAATTGGGTGTTGCCAGGGGGTTGGATTTCCCCCATGGGCCCCCCAATGACACAGGATTAAAACTATAGGGGACACAGAAAATTCTGGGCAGTATGTCGGGGGGGAAACAGAATTCTGTTTTTTTGTTGTTGGGGAAGGGTTTTTCTTTTGACAATATTTTGGGTGTTGTATTTTCCTTTCCTATGTAATTTTAAAAAAAGTTCCCCTCACCCCCAGCTTTCTTTTAAATGCATTGCAACACTATGGGAGAATTTTTGTGGTGAAGTTGGGCAGCCTTTCCCCATGCTGTAAGGTTGTGGGTTTTTACTTTAGCGCCCCCCTTTATTCCCAAGGCCGTGTTCATGGGGATTCCTGGGGGCCGTTTCCAGAACTTTTGGATTTTTGCGCTGCGCTCTCAGAAGGGGGCTAAACCCTTCTGTGGTGAGAGACCGAGTTCCCTTTTGGGGAATTTAAAACGGTTTCAATAATCGATCCTATGCTTTAAAACCCAAACCCCTTTAACTGTGAGCGGGAATTTTTAAGTTTTACTGCTTTTTTACTTTTCCCTGCATGGGTTTTTTTTTTGAAATGCAGGTCCAAAAAAAGGGGGGGTCCCTTTTGTCCTAGAAATGGTTTTTCTACCCTTTAAATTTGGGGTTAATTTTCCTCCAATTTGGGGTTAATTTTGATTTTTGTAAAATTTTCTTTCCCCTGACCCGTAAATGCATTTTTAGTGAAGGACTGATTGTGTTAACACTTCTGACAGCTGCCTTTTGCATTGCCTATGTGTACGATGTTAGCTTTGCTGATCCCGCCCTGTTTTCTTTTTTTTTTTTACCAAAAACCAGTAATGAACCCTTCTCTGTGGTTTTTTAGCACAGGGAAAATTCAAAATTGGCCCTGAAATGTTTTACTACCAAAAATTTTGGGAAATGCAATTTTTGATTACAGAAACCCATCTCTGGAAGGACTGAAAGGTGGCAACTATTTAACTAACAATAATGACATAATTATTTATTGAGTTTTTAAAACATGTCCTTTTGTGGAAATTTTTTTAAGACTCAATCCGTTCCGTTAAAAAAGTTTTAAGCTGCCCTGGGGGCCCCGACAAATATTGCATCGGGCCCCAAACACTGCCGACCCCGAAGGGCTCAATGGGGAGGGGCAGTACCCCCTAAAATTTAAACTCTGCTCAGCTCTGAAAATTGAAGGGTGTACGGAAAATTTTTTTCTCAGATTGTTATTATTTCAGATTACGACCAACAAATAAGCCAGTAAAATGGGTGTGCAGCAAAACTGAGGCCCTGGTACAAATCCAAAGAATGACCAACTGCACACAAATCGGCCAGTAAAATGGGCGTATACGCAAAACTCAGGCCCTGGCACAAAGCCAAAATCCAAGTGGACGATCAACCAGGACTTTCCGCCAGAGTTTACAGCCCGTAAAGGAAGAAGAAGAAGAAACGGACAGTGCAGCAAAAACCCCCACAGTACCCAAACCTGGTGATACTAAAGTCAGCAGGGAGCAGAGCATCTGAACGACACTTGATTGGAGGGGGAGGGGGCGAGATGTGTACTTTTAATCAGGTTGCAGTTAGGACCATTGGGAGCTGTGGCTGCATAGCAGATGGAGAGTGACCAGCCGGCCTGAAGGTCTTGGTGCTAAATCTTTTTTTTTTTTTTTTAAACTGACCTTGATCGACCAAGCCTAAAAGTTTTCCTAGGGTTAGCCCTTTGGGAAATAAAAATTGGGGGGGTGATGTTGCACACATCCCATATTGATTTTCCCATTTTGGGGTACATAATATCTAGCCTGTATGTTCAGTATGCCCCTGGATATGAAAAATTTTTGTTTTATACTTTTTCCCTTTCTTACTGTGACCATCATATGGGAGCTTTTGGGGTGGAAAGAAAAAGAATAAACATGTGTAAAAAGTCCCCAGTTTAGTAATGTAAAATTTTGTATTTTTTGTCCAAAGAAAATTGGGAGTTTTTCCTTTTGTATTTAAAATTTTATAAATGGTTTTACAACAGGGTGTGTTTTTCCCGGGCAAAATTGGCAGGGATAGTCCTGAAAGCAGGGGTTAAAGTTGGTGAAGATACTTGTGGGCCCCTCTTTCTTAAGTTAAATTTTGTTTTTATTAAATTTTTTTTTTTCCTATTCTTTTTTACTGTAAGAGCATTCTTACCCAAATTAATTTTTAAAACCCTTAAATTTGGGCAAAGCATAAAGAGGGGGAAAAAATAAACGACAACAAAAAGTTATCCTTTTAAAAAACCCCCCAAAACCCCCCTCCAGGATGGCAAACCCCCGAACCAAAACCCGTTTAAAAAAAAGGAATTTGGGTTAAAAGTTGGGAAAAACTAACATACCCCCGGAAAACAAAAAATCCCAAAAGGAGAAGCACAGGGAAAGTGGAATTTAAAAAAAATAAAAATTTTTACTTAAAGTTTAAATTTCACGTTAAGATAAAAAGTATTTTCTGTTTATGGAAAATAGGGAAAACATGTGAAACGGAGTTTTTCCCTGATAAACTACAGACATTCATTAGCTGGTACCTGCGCATAATAGAGGGCAATTTACTTTCAACCCTCAACCCCCAGAAACCTTAAAAAAGGTCCATAACCCATTAGAATTCCTAAAAAAAAAAAAAAATATATATATAGTAATATATATCTATATATATATATATATATATATATATATATATATATATGTGTATATATTATATATTATATATATATATATATATATAGTATTATATATATATATATATATATAGATAAAATTATATTATAATATATATATAATATATATATGTATATATATATATGTAAATATATTATATATATATATATATAGTACTATATATATATTCAATTAAAATTATATTTGTCGACATTTAAAATGTTTTTTTTCAGAATATATAAAAGGGGTAATCAGTAAACATGAACGGGATGAAGCATTAAATTGTATACATCTCTAGGGCCTAAAAAACACATGCATATCTGGTGACTCGGTGATCATTACCATTGAGGCTTATGAGAAAATGTAAAGCCATCTTGGCTTTAAAAAAAAACTCTTTAGCACACAGAGAAACCCCTGTGCATTAATTATACATCTCGTAAACAGGTTACGATAGGCAAGTTGGAAAAGTGACATTTACGGGGAACTGGATCTGACCGGAAATGTGTTTTTTTTTTTTTAAGCTTTTCGGCGCAAAAAGGTTAAATGGTATGTTAGAACACTAATGTAGAACTTTTGGGGAGAACTAAACACATTCCAGTGAATCAAGATGCTGCTATTTGATAGGACAGACTTTAAGGCAATCTTAAGAGGATAGAAATAAAGACAGACCATAAACATAAGAGAGAAGGGAGCTACAGAATTAAAAAGATGAGGACATGGGATGAGCTGCATGCTGTAGCAAACAGTAAGACAACTTGTTGTGAGTTGGGTTAAGGTCTATGCTTTGTTATGGGGATAAATGGCAGAAGAAAAAGTGGGAAGTGCATTTAATTGTCCAGTAGCGGAGCTATGTCTGGTTAAAAAAAAACGAGTCTAGCTGTCGTCAATTGGACAAAAAAACACAATCCTTTCCTGTTTACATGTACTTTGACGGCTTTATACTACAGTGTATAACTATTGTCCTTTCATTATATATCACAATGAGAGAAATGCTGTTATATTATCTACAGTTTGCTGAGTAAAGCTGTTAGTTTGTCAATGACAAGAAATGCTGTCTGGTGTCTGTCAAACTTGTGCAGAGGGAAAAATCCACCACCAGATTTTAGCAAGGTATGTTCTGATCTATAATCTCCTAGAGAGTATTGTTCTTTACCTGTTTTTTTAATCCTTCCACATCAGTGACCAAAATTGTAACCTTTTGGACGACTGGGCTGATCTATCGGCCCGTTAGCAAAGTAGCCACAAAAAAAAAAAAGGGACGGCTGGGCTGATCTGTCGGCCCAGTAATAAAAGCCTTGAGATAGTCTGGCTGGTCTTCTTACCAGCAAATCAGATTGTTTCTCCCATTTCTTGCTCATGTGGGCTGTTCAATGTACGGCTTTCATGAAAGTTTGTTGGTTCCTGTAAGTGGGGGGTGGTTACTTGTGCCCAACAATGGTGAAAAGTACTGTTGCATTATTGCAACCAAAATATAGCAGGAGTCAGGAAAAAGGAGTAGCACCATGTGCCAGAGATGTCTGGAGGGCCTACATGGGCCTTGCTTCTCAAAACACGTGTTACGACTTATTCAGGCTTCATTCATCAGAAAAGTTAGCCAAATTGTTCAGTGTAATCATATTTGTTCTAAGTAATAACAAAAAATTACATGCATAAATATACAAATTCTTTAGCTAATTTGAAAACAATTGTTGAAATGTCAGTGTGATTCCTGAAGATTTTGTTAATTCATTCAATTTCTTACACGAAAATATCAAGTTTTGTATATGTTAATTAAACACTTTATTTGTTCTAATTTTTGTGTGTGTAAACTTAAGATAATCCCCTCCTGAAAGCTCTGTCTTCTTGGCGCTGAAATTCCCAAAAAAGTCTCAGTCTCCAAAGGGTTAAATTAAAATAGAAAGAAATCAAATTTTTTGAAGAAATTGGTGCTCATTTAAACAGCATGCAAACAGAATGAGTTTGTTAGTCTTTCCTCTTGAGTCTGGGGCGTCGCATAGGGCAAAGGTCATAGCTCTCCATGTCTGGTGGTTCGTTGCCACCTGCTTTAGGTCTTGTATGTTTGTTAGGCCAATGGCTGAGGCTTCCCTGATGACCTTTTATGTAGTCTCTCTTGGTCTTCCCCATTCTCTTTTTCCTGCGGGTGGGATCGTGATGGGGAAGTCTTTGCTTTGTCCATTCTGAGCGCATGGCTTATGTAGTTCCAGCTGTGCTTTCTTACATTATAACATTTAAAGCTGGCCATCTGATTCTAAAACAAAGGATGGTTTATGATAGCAACTAGTCCGGTTGTCGATTAACAGTCTTAAGCTAATGTAGAAAAAAAATACAAACTGCCATCTTGACCTAAACTGGAAACAGACAGAATTAGAGAACAGAACTGTTGATACAGTATATTGTTTGTGTGTTTGTTATTTGAATTCACTGTGGAAAACATTGTTTTCTTTACTGAGGATTTGCTTTTTTTTTTTTTTAACAAAAACAGGTTAGCCCAGCTTTGCCAGTCCTTGCTAGACTTTTATACCACACAGACAAGGATGTTTTAGCTGATGCTTGCTGGGCTCTCTCTTACTTGTCTGACGGTCCCAATGAGAAGATACAGGCTGTCATAGACTCTGGAGTATGCAGACGGCTTGTGGAGTTGCTTATGTAAGATTTTATATTTGTTATCCAGACATATCTAGATATCGGTTTAAAAGTATTGCCCTGTTGGGGTTTACCGCTAGGCAGCGATATTTGCGCACTTTGGCCCAGCCAGTCCAAATTCAGCAAAATCGGAGTTAAATCACTTTTTATAACATGCTTGTTAAGGGGCCACGAGTTTGCTCTCCCCTCCACCTCTCCCCCACCTCACAGCAATGAGACACTGGAAGCCCTCACACAGAGGCACATTAGTTTGTAATTCTTGGTTTTTGTATTGTTTCTTGTTTAGTTGTTTTTTTTCAAAGAAGGAGAAAAACTTGGGGGAAGATAGTGAGTTGCTGTGAGTTTAAGTAAAGATAAGATTTGTGTAAATGAGGCCATAAGTTGATAGGAGTAGCTGTATTGGTGGCCAGACTTTAGCCTTCATGTACTTCACTAATCTGGGCCAACCTGTCTTTTCACTGGAGCCTTGATGGTTGGGACTGAGTAGCAAACGGTGTGCTGCGCAAACTGGTGTCATCCTCAATAACTGGCTTTATCTTTGATATCAGAAGTGGTGCAATAGTTTCGCTGTAATAGCAGAAGTTGTTGCAACATTTCTGCTGCTAAATTTGAACAATTTGTTGCAGATTAGAAACATTTGAGAAACACTTAAAGGAAACCCCAGTAAAATACTCCAGAATTGTTGTACTAAATACTGTGTCATGACCAGTGATATTTCAGATGGGGTTGTTTGCATTGTTACAGCAACATATGAAAAATAGCCTGGAGAGTTTTCAGAGGATTTTCTATGGCTCTCTGTGATGAAGTGTTTTAAGCATTTTACCTTGTGCTGTGAATGTCAGTTTTGTATTCATACTCTGTAGTAACTGCAGGTGGTTTTGAAACTATAACTTCTTCTTCACATCCTCTTTTACCACTTCGGGTATCGGGGGAGATATAAGGTCCTCCTTCGTGCTTTTCTGGCTGTTTCAATCAAAGACACATTGTGGTACAGTAGAGTTTCTCTGATGTTATCCTTCCATATTGTTCTTGGTCTACCTCTTGCTCTATGTCTCTCTTCTCTTTTGGTATATGCCTTGAATGGTATGGCATCAGAAGGCATTTTCTTCAAATGGGCAAACCATTTGATTTGCTATCTTTCTATGTAATTTAGAATTGGTTCTGTGCCTACTTTATCTTGTATGACCTCATTCCTGATTTTATCTCTCCTGGTCACTTCTGCTGCCTTTCTCATACACCTCATTTCCATGGTGACTAATTTTCTTTCATATTTTGCTGTGAGTGACCAAGTCTGACACTGGTAGCATAGCTTGGGAATGAATATGCTTTGTATGAGATGCCTCTTTGTGCTTTGGGATTGCATTATGCTGTAAGAGGGGAGCTAGCTGTCCCAGTACTTCGCCAGCTTTACTGCAGCAAATGTGAAACTTAACTACTTGTTTCATTGATGTAAACTTGAATAAACTTTATTAGTCTGCACTGGTAACTCTTTGATACCTCCTCAGATCTCTCAGAAAGAAATTGTCTCACCATCTTCTGGCAGCTCATGATAAGAGCCCATTTGCATTTTCTTAGCTGTTGAAATAATGTCAGCCGAATTGAATTAAAACCCAGAAACCAAATGCCAGAGAAAGTCGGATGTCTTGGCTGAAAGGTGCAGATTTCGCAGCTGTGCTGTAAACAGGCACAGCAACACAGCACATTTATGTCACTGATGACTGATGAATAAGATTATTATCACTTTGAATAATAATAGTAGATTGATGATAGAGGTAATGTAAACATTTCTCTTCTATTTGATCACCAGGCACAATCATCAGAGTGTTGTGGCTGCTGCCCTAAGGGTTGTAGGCAATATTGTCACTGGAGATGACTGCCAGACTCAGGTCAGTTTGGAGAGTCAGCTGTTTTTTTTTCTCTTTTTCTGGAGAGGTTCTTTTGATGGAGTGCTTCCTGGCTGTTGTTGTAGTCTGCAGTGTGTGACATCTGCCTATGAGAATCTTCAGTTGTATAGTGGTTTTCCATTATGCTATTGACATCTGTGATGTCAATTGCATGTCCGGCATATGATGCTAGACTCATATTTTTATAGACCAGTCAGCACTTGACAAGTCATCAGCTGCCTTTATTTCCCAGGTTCTTACCTAGTACTCCTTTAAGCTAGGTAGGTCTAAGAACTACAGTCATAAAAAAAAAAAATAGACTGTATATTGGCCTTATGCTTTGAACCTAAGACCTAAAGGTTGTCAGATGAGCTTTCTGCATTTTTAAGCAATCATATTTTATATTGTTTTCCATTAAGTTATCGATCAAGCATGTTCCATCTCTGCATTTAAGGTTGGCTGCAATGCATCTTCAACACTCTTGCCTCTCTCTCTGGTTGTAAACTCTCTGTTGTTTAATAATCCCTCATATTTTCCCACTTGTATTGCTGTCTACCTCTTGCTAACCTGCTTTCAGCTTTTAGCTCCATTATGAGTTTCACAAAAATGCTTTGTTTTTAAAAAACCTGAAACAGTTAACTTGCCTCTTTTCCTGAAAGATTCTAAAGTTGTTTTAACAGAAATGTTACTGATATCAGGTTATCTGACCTACATCAGCTCTGTGTGTATGGGGAGGGGCAGTTGGAAATAACCCACATTTATTATGGCAAATGACATTTAGGTTTAAGCAGACTTTTGCTGACAGCAGAGAAGATGATGATAATATTCACAAGTTACATTACTTATTGAACAAATATGGAAGAAATTATCAGGATGACAACATTTTTTGTATTGTAGAAATTATCTATTGGGAAAGAGGTGAGACTGCTTAATGACAGATTGGTGGGGTGTGTTGTCCTTGTAGAAAACAAAATAAATGTAGATTTGAATACCCAGGTAAAAGTTTGGAAGAAGAGATTAGTGCAACAACAGCAAGAAAAAATATTGTATTATACATAAGCTAAGAAATGCTGCTATAATTGTCTAGGTGGCAACACAAACATTGATAAACAGAGCATGAGAGAATAGAACCAATTAGTTTTGGTAGCGTGGTGATCAGTGAGTTAACCGTTTCATCCTGGAAACCCTTTGAAGAATGTCGCTGTTATATTTTTAGTGAAAATCTGAAGAAAAAGTCCTGAACCTCCTTCCCGTTATCAGCTGTGATCTTCAATAAAAAGTTTTGGTTGTTCCCCCACATCTGGACTTTTGTCTTGTTCCAGAACCTGAGTTTTGGGCGTACATCCGTTTACAGATCTTTGCTTATTTTTATGCACCCTGTTGGTTCCTCGCTTCTCTGGCAGATGCACTCCAACTTCCAAGAAACATTCCCAATTAGTCGACTGTTATGACATGCTTGTTGGGGGCAGTGGGTTTATTTCCCCCAATGAAGCCACAGAACCCACACCGGGAGAAGTCCTGAATGAACTCTAAACATTTTTGGATTTTCTCGCCAGCTTTCAGAGTGGTGTTTTAAAGATGAGAGTGTTAACTTCATTGTGCCAGGGTTTATTTGCTATGACTCAGATCTCTCCCCACTAGTTGCCTGTGAGGGCATTGCACAAAGCACAGACCTTTTATAAACCTATGGGGACCTTTATGGTGAAGTGGTCAAGCCGTTTGCCAGAGCTGCAGTGTTCGTGCTTTGTGTACTGTTGGCAGGCAGCTAGCCATTCTGCGGAGAGAGACCTAGCCATATGTGAAAACCGGAAGCAGTCGACCCTCTCAGCTTTAACCTTTTAAGAAACCTTATAGCCCAAGCAGAGACTTTTGGGGATCTATGAAACACATACAACCCTCAGCCGATCATGGGAGTCTGAAATCACACACAATCTTCAGACGACAAGGCTTCCTGTGTGGGTTCTGAGCTTGATTTTGTGGGCTAAAAAGGAGTAGCAAGCATATGGTAAAAGGCGACTGATTTAAGAATTTTCCTGAAATTGGATGTATTGGGCTGACGGATGCAGATATCTTCTTCTTCATGTTCACTGGTTGTTTACTCCAGCGGAAGGTTCTGGTTGTTCGTCAACTTCTGGATTTAAGTATTGTTCCAGAACTTGGGTTTTGCTTCCACATCTATTTTACAAGTCTGGCTTACTTGTATGCAGACTGTTGGTTCCTCACTTCTCACATATGCGCTCTGACTTAAAAGTGAAGACCAGTTAGTCACCTTTTAGACAATTATTGTTGGGAGGGGGGTGTGGGGCCAGTGGGTCTAGTCTTTATCCCTCCAAAATAGGACCACATAACCTGCAGCACAGATATCAAAATCTGTCTGTAAACTCCAGCACAATGTGACAGCCAGCCTTTTACAGGGCCAAGAAGAAGAAAATCACAAGGCAAACGGCCTAACCACATTGTTGTTGAGACGTATCGTAACGTATAAAATCAAACAAAAATTCAAGCTTAGTCCTTTTTTAGCCGCCTGATGGCCTGCTTTTTCAAGGACGGTTCCTTTGCTATCTTATTTATTTTTCTTCCTTGTGGTGAGCAATTACACCTGAGTTTGTTCATTTGTTGCCTAAGTTCCGGTTCTGATGGGTCCTGGTTCCTGTTTAGTTGGGTATTTGTTGAGACACCCCTACTACTGTCTTTATTATGTTTTCTTAACCTTATAAATGGGGGCTGTGGTGGTGTAGCGGCCAAATGCTCACCTCAGGCTTGAAGATTGTAAGTTCCAATCCGCATCAAGGCGGAGTTGTTTTAAAAACAAATAATGTTGGCTTCCAGGTCGACCCAGCCTGAAATGGGTACCGGATAAAGTCCTGGGAAGTAAAGGTGACTGGCATGATGTTGACCACATCACACACAGAGTGCCGATTGGTCTATAAAACATAGGTACAGCCCTGTGTGCCCAGTATAGCTGAAGGCGGGGAAAAGGGTCCTTTTCTTTACTGTACTAACCTTATGACATGGAAAAGGGTCTTTTACCTCACAAAGTAAGTATCCTTATGATTGATTGAAGCTAGGTGGCCGGTCAACTCTGGGATGTTTTAGAGAGGTCGAGCACTGGTTGCACCAAGTGAAGAATGAAATGTACCAGTAGGTGACATTTTTAGCCGACTCTGATAGCTAAACACAATTTCTCATCAGGGCGTGGAGTTTACTTCATACTTAGAGCAAGGAGAATGTCAGTATTTGTGAGTTTATATGCTTGGCGGTCAGTACTGAAAAACATTCATTTCAGTTGATATTAGTGTTTCGAGTTATTGGTTACCAGAAAACAAGCTTGGAAGACCTTACATATATTTGGTCTTCCTTTTTGTGTGTGAAATGATTGCCTTGATTTTTATGCTTGGTTAGAAAATGTGCATTTGTTGTCGGTATTATAACGTGAATACCGTTTTTTGCATTGGTTTCCAACAGGTTGGTTTAGGAATGTTTTCTTTGCAGGTCATTGATTCACTTTTTTCTCATGCTGTTTAATGATATATCCTTTTAATTTACGTTTATATCATATTTTTTTAAAAACTCATGAGTTTGTAGTGATTCTTTTTGAAACAGATGAAAACAAAATGATAGCAACACCTTACTCACATTCTTTGGCTTTTTTGGTATATGCTGCGAACTATATTTTTGCGTACACTAAACAGATAGACTTGTATTCATTGGCACTCATAGAGAGAAGTTGAAGGGTATGAGTGGCTTGAGTTGAAAACCTTTAAAGTCTGCTTATAATTACAATGACAGTGCTTTTGTTTTGTAACCTAAGAGTATTGTTGTTAAGGGTGTCAAGATTGTTAAGCATATGATAACAGCGGAAGGGGCAGGGGGCGTCTTTAATCTGTCATTATGACACGACTGTGTTCATCTGCACCGTAATGTCACGTGCTTTACACTCTTGACATCCAGAAACTCAGTATTGACAGGTTGCAGGATAATGGCCTAGTGATTGTAATATCTCTCACACTTTTTAGATTTTCATTTTAAGACCCCTCCCTCCATTGGAGGATAGTATTTTCTTAGAGCCCGATTGGGGCAATGGAGTTAGCATTGTACCAGTCATTTTTACTTGTCAACATATTTATTTTACTCTGTATTGGTATGTGACTAAGGATGCTAAAAAAAATGTCTTGGTGGAGATTCAAACAAATAAACACTAGACCAGCATGCAAGGATACTAGCTACTGAGCTACTGGCTCCATATGAAAGTACATTTAAAGGAAAAAGTTTTGACCTGTTAGCTACAGTGAAATAAAGTATGTGTAAGAAATATGTAGTAACCAGTAAAGAACTAAGGACAGTAGTTGGCAGAGTAATAGTGAAGGATTTAATAGAACATCAAAGAATCAAATGGTTTGGTTGTTTGGTCAGAGTGGAGCAAAATCAAACATGATGAGAAAACAGGCTGCATGAAATGTGGCTGAACAAGAAAGAGATGGGTGGAGGGAGTGAGATACTACAGAAACACAACATGATATCAAAACAAGCTACGCAACCAGCAAAAGACAACAAACTACACATAACTCCTCTCTGCAAGGCTTTATGGCATAAGTAGTAGGATAGAGAGAGAGGAAAAAAAAAAGAAGCAGTAAAGTAAATGGCAGCATTTCCAGAAATTTCATATCTTCATCATCACCACACCAATATTTTACTATTTATGTCTCCAACTGAAAGCACAATATACTTATTTCAAATAATCCATTTGTTTGTATGTTTTGCTGCAGTAATTCACGGACTGTATTTTTCCCTCCACTACAAGTGGGCTGCTAGCTGTGTCTTATCCATCTCTATGACTCAGTAGAGTCACAATCTGGATGGCAGCCTGCAGGGCGAATCACATATACTCTGTTCAACCTCCAGATAAGTTATAATTAGGGCCATTTGTATGACTACAATAAGTATTGTTCTGGTGTACCCTACAGTCTTATGTGAGTCATTATCCTCATCATGTGCCCAGCCAACTGGCATAGGCACTTATGCCTCCGCAGATCACGATCTGTGGTTGCCTGGAGCAGCTCTCTTGATGATATCCCTCCTTGCTATTGTTTCAGCCCATCCATCATCATCTTTCTTTCTCTGCCTCAACCCCTTCTTCCACTGATCTTTCCAGTTGTCACAATGTTCTCCAATGTCATTCTTCTCATTATGTGGCCAGAGAACAGTGTTTGTCTCTTTCTTATTGTTGTATATAGAGGTCTACCTTTATTAGCTTCTTTCAAGCAATAGTTGTTAGTTACTCTGGCCGTCCAAGGTATTCGTAACATTTGTCTCAGAAACCACATCTCTTTTGCTTCAAAATTCTTCAATACAGCAGAACAGATTCTTTGTATGAGCAAGGGTAATTTATTCTGTATAAAATGAAATTGCACAAGGATCATGTGCATAACAGTCTGGTATTTTTGCCTTTTAAATCAAGTGCTTGCTTTGTTAAGGGGCCAGAGGTGCTTGACTGTTTCTACCTATGATATCAAAACGATTGCACTGGATAGAACAGTGAATGATTAGGTCATGAGCCCAGTGTTAAACATAGCGGCATCATGATGATGATGATGTACATAAATGAAGTAATTTCATTTTTCCTATTTCACTAACAGGAATGCATTATTTATTTTTATAGGAGTGTTTGCAGTTTTGGTGGTTGAAACCTAATGGTTTTTTTCACCGTGTTTATTGCTGCAGGTGATAATCAACTGTTCGTCCTTGCCTTGTTTGCTACACTTATTGGGCAGCTCCAAGGAGTCCATTCGCAAGGAAGCCTGCTGGACTATTTCAAATATCACTGCTGGCAACAGGCAGCAGATCCAAGTAGGTGTAGTGCAGCATTAATTAATCCCCCCCCCCCCCCCCCCCCCCCCCCCCCCCCCCCTCCTTCAGAGCAAGGTCACGTTTGAATTCCCTTGGAAATAGGTTTAACCTTGTTGACTTGGGAATCCTTAAACTAAACAAAATTTGTGGCCCCTTTGGAGTTTCAGAAGAAAAAAAAATCCTTAAAAAAATCATGTAAGTTTTACACAGGACATTACTAAGTGTGTAACATTATTTTGCTATCTACATTTTAAAATTATGTTTCATTGAATTATGTAAAGATATTTGAAGGCAGTAATCAGAAAACATGAACAGTTTGAAGCATTAAATAGAGTACACTCGCTGAGCCTCAATAAACATACATGTTGAGTGATATGTGAACAGGCTGAAGCATTAAATGGAGTACATTTGCTGGGACCTCAATGAACATACATGTTGAGTGATACATGCCTGACCCAGTGACTTCTGTCACTGAGGCTTATAGGAAAATTTGGCGCCAACTTGATTTAAACAAAACAAAATAGATAGATTTTCACTGAATGCATACGTACAGATATCCACTTAAGCATTCATCCTGAAATGCACTAATATATCCATCCATCTGTACTTCCATCCACATATCAACCATGCATCCACCTATCTCATCTATCATCATATCCACCCATGCCTGCATCCAAGCACACATGTTTATTATACATATATTTTGAATTATTATTTTCATATCTGTGTCATTACAGAATGTGATAGACTGTAACATATTTCCTGTCCTCATTGAAATCTTGGGGAAAGCTGAATTTAAAACCAGGAAGGAAGCAGCTTGGGCTATTGCCAATGCTACGTCAGGGGGCTCACCAGAACAGATCAGGTAAAGATTTAATCATACACTTTATGTTTTTATGTAATAACTTAAAGGGTGTATTTACAGATTGTTCACTGGCATCATGAGGGCTAATAGATTGAAGTGAAGTGAAGGAAAGAAGAAGAAGATTGAAGTGGCTGGGGCATATTGAGATAATGTTATGACAGAGGTAAAAGCTGTGTACAAGGAATTGAATGGTCAAAGACCAAGAACACGGTGGAGAAATAATATACAGACAGACAGCCCTCCAAAAATGTGGAGTCACCAACTGGAAAGAGACTAATCATAGAAATGGATAGAGGTAGATCAGAGGTTCTCAGACCGGGTGCCGCTAGCGTATCCATGGGTTCCACGACAGTAATCAAGAATTTTTCATAATCTGCTTGAGTTTGGCGAAGACAGCAGTTTAAAGGTGCTCTACCCCGGGACTTGTCTATAAACCTCAGCAGAAAGCTAGTATAGGGCATACTTCGTTCGGCAGTAAGCGGGTATACTTATCTTACCTTGTTCATGCCGCGAGAGAGAAGATTGAGATGACTGTCGGGATCTCCAAGGCCGGACTGCAACCCATCGTGTGAATTGATCAGTCGATTGTTGTACGAGTCAGCTGTAAGCCGCTATACTTATACTGCCGACTGTCTGGATTTCCAAGGTCGGACTTCGACCCGTCGTTTTTAATATGTCAGCTGACGTCGAGCGGTTTCTTGTGTTGGTGTGTTTGGATGAGTTTGGATTATTAGTTGCACATTTTCTTCTTCTGTTGATCATTGCTATTGTCAATTAACAATGGAACCAAAGAGAGTTATCGTTCAACTACGTTTGGAAGCTTAACATTCATCATGTTCTGTTACACTTGACCGGTGGCATATTAGGTCGTTGATGCCATTTGTTACATTGCGACACCCTAATTCATCTTTGGTACGCCGCACATCACCATAAACTTTTCCGCACGTCACAAAGAGTTCTGGATGCAAGTGTATTCAGAAGACAATGCTATTTGCAAGGTTGCAGTGCATTCTCAACATATGCTTACATTAAAAAACAGATACAAAAGCAAATTTCTGGGTCTAGTGATTTGAGGGTAAAATTAACTCAACTTCCTAGATACAAAAAAAGAAATAATGAAAATTTCATCCAAACAGTTTAATTCATCGCATTAAAGACAACTGAACGTGGAATGTGCACTTTCTGCTGTTCTTTTCCTAAGTATTAAAACTTCTTTAAGGGTAGGTGTGCACTGAAATGTTTATTTGCCCGACAAGGGTGCCGCGACGAAAAACGTTTGAGAACCGCCGAGGTAGGTGATGAACCTCAACGCCTCAGAATGCTGAAAATAAAAAGTGTTTTTAAAGAGGAACTTAAAGTTAAGTTTATTTTAGAAGTCACCTTACATTGCTATTGTCACGATATGTGTGATATATTCTAAGAGTGGCCGTGTTGTTGTTCAGTTGCTGTGATTTTTCTTTCAGACTGCTTATTATGTGAGTGTTCCCTACACAGAATACACTGCATTTTTTTAATGGGAGTAGTGTGTATTATGGTTGTGCTATGTCATAAGGAGATGCGTGTGATAAGAGATCGCGGTCTCGACCGGCACACCATGCTGGCTTTGTTTTGATTGTGGCAGTTCATAATAAAACAAACATAGGAAGACAGATCTTGCCATCAGGGAACTAAAGCTGTCTAGACGAGAGCAAACTCGGAAAAAAAAAAAGACAGACAAAATTTGTCAGCCATTGTTTTGTTGGGGAAGAATTGACTGACACATATATAGCTCAAAGACCACATTCTTCTGTCACTTCTACGCTGAGCTATTATTGCTGTATATATTTTCTGACTTCTTTAATTTTCCTTTGTACAGTTTTTAATGTTCATTCTGAACACTGATGCTGTCATGTCTCATTGTGAAGTAAGTAAGATCGAGATTTTGTCTCATACCAAAGTGTTGGTATTTAAAAATACAAGGTGTTGCTAAAAACGCCTCAAAGCGTGTAAATGTGACCACACTGTTTAAAAAAATAAATTTGTTTTGCTTTCTGTGCCAGACTTGCACAAAATCACTTGTTAACTTTGACCATGATTTCTGCACTGTGCTATCCTTGTATTATATCCCATGTTTATACTGACCATTTGCTACCATGGGTCCTGTTTTATGCATTTGAGTGGTCTGTTGTTGATGCAATTTTTTGCTAACGAAATGGTTCCTCGTCTGCACATCAGCATAGTCTGTTTTATGACAGGTTTCTATCAACTACATCATTGTTGTTTAAAAGTTTGTCTTAACAAACTTCCTATTGTTTGCCACAGTGTCCAGCCCAGATGTGTGTGATGTACTATTCCAAGTTTGTACTAGTAATTGTGTTATAAGAAACTCTAATTTCTGCAGCAGATTTGAATATATAACAGCTATATTATCATTGTCCCTAATTACTGCATCGGATTTCTTCATTAATGTACTGGCAGCCATATTACCATACTCTCCAAATTTTTTCCTCATGTTTGTCCATTGTTGTATGAAAAGTTGACACTCGATCTGCTTCTGTATTCAAACATGTGTGCCATTTGTTTAATCTTGTGTTGTGTACAAAGATTGTGCTTTTTCTACCATCAGGTTTTTAGTAGATCAGAGCTGTATTCCTCCTTTATGTGACCTTCTGACTGTGATGGACAGTAAAATAGTTCAAGTGGCTCTTAATGGTTTGGAGAACATCCTTAGACTAGGAGAGACAGATGCCAAGCAAGGCAATGGTGTTAACCCTTATGCCGTGATGATAGAAGAGTGCTATGGTAAGATCTGCATCTGTTTGATGTGTGTGTGCATGCCTGCGAGAGAGATGGGCGGGAAAATGTGTTCTAATTGGGTGAACTAGAGAGTGAAATTAAGGAGATCGGGAGAACTTGCATTCAATCACAGAGGATAGGATGGCTTAGCATGAGTTGGTCGAGTGCCAATGCTCTCTTGGGGGATAAAGAGCAAAAAATGGGACGTGTGGGGGAGGAGAATGGGAGACGATTTCTGTGCTTATGTCTCAAAGGTAACAGCTTAGGTAATCTTGAGATATTCAATAATATTAACAGTTAGTCAACACATATACTAGGTCATGCTTTAATGAGATATGGAGACCATTTTCCTTCCACCTAACTTTTATGCTTATAATATCAAGAAAATTCAGATGGCTACCAGTCCCCCATCTGAAGAAGCTGCGTTGCTTCTTAGAAACATACTCATCATCATCAATCAGCAGTTCCTTTACAGAACTTTGCTATCTTCACTGCACCTTAAAGTCTCTCTTTCTCTAGCCAATTCTCCTGCCTGTGCTCTCTCTTTATCTGCAGACAATTCTCCTGCACTGTAAGCTTTCATAGCCAATGCATCTTCAATGTCTTGTACCTACCTTCACGGAGGTTGACCTTAGCTTTGTCTTCCAGAAACTGCACCCTTCCTCACCCTTCTCTCTATCACCATGATTTTTAACAAGCTTTCAGTACAAGATGCTGTTTCATCTCCACGATGTTCAGATCATGTAGGATGTCAGTAATTTTCTTCACAATGCACAGTGTTCTAAGAATTTTTCTAGAATATTTTAGTTCAAAAGCTCCAATTTTTTTCCATTTAGAAATTATGAGCCTGTGACTCACATCCATAAGTTGTCGTAGGAAAGATGCATAATCTCAGAATTGTTACATTAACCTGCTTGCAGGCGCCGTGCCATACCGTAGATTCTTCATGCTGTTTAACCTCTAAGAGAAACATACCAGTTGAACACAGATTATATCTATACTGGAGATCAAATCCAGATCGCTGTGTTGTTATTCTTGGCACCTTTGTTTCTTTCTAGATGATGGTATTGCATTGTATTGTACAATAGGCAGGCTGCCGTGTGGGTTCTGGGGTCCCATTATGGGCAAAACAAGAATAGACCCACTGCTTCCCCAACAAGCATGTCGAAAGAGCTGACAAATTGGGAGCTTCCTTCAGAGTCAGAGTGCATTTGCTTGAGAGGCAAGGAACCAGTAGTCCGCATACAGATAAGCAAGATCTGTAAAACTGATGCACACGCAAAACTCAGGTCCTGGAACAAAGCCAAAGTCCAGAAATGGACGAACAGCCAGGTCTTTTTGCCGAGGTTTACTGCCGGTGAACACAAACCACAACTATAGGGAGGCATAGGATCACAGCCGATGGTGATCACAGCAAGTGTTTCTAGCAGGCTGGCTGGCTGGCTTCTTGTAAAAGATAAAGATAATTCGATCTCGTTCAGACATTTTCAGCTGTGTAGCTGATGCCTATATTTGCCGTCTTTATTGAGTATGGTTGAATATGGTTTTCTTCGGTTCCATTTTGTTATGTTGTTCTAAACGGTTTAATTGATGTTGCTTCTTTCTTGTATAGAGTTGTTTTATACCTGATGTTGTTGTATCCGGAGGCAAGGGTCTTCTATTTCTTTATTGTGTCTCTTTGTTTCGTTCCTGATTATGTTAGGACACATCTGAATATTGCATTTTGGTTCTGTCCTATCCTCTCGTCATCTTGTGATTCCTATTTTCTGATTGGTGTTTCTGGCTTCTATTCTTCCTGTCACGTTTTTCCGCTCTGTGTTGGCTTCTAGGATGTAATAATGTTTAGTCCTTACAAGGACTTTTATGTAATTTTGTCTTTCCATCTTTGCTTGTGTTTTTCTCCTTCTCATCTTTGTCTGGCGTCCTCTGTATTGTTTGACGTTTTGGGTCTGGCTGGTAGGTGTCTGTGGATGTTGTCTTCTCTGTCGTCTCTCTCATCTCTTCCCTCAGCCTCTTTCTGTATTGAGCTTGTTTTCTTCGGTCTTCTTTGGTTTTGATGCTTCCTGGTGGAAACCTTCTGTTCATTTCTGCATTGTGTCTGTCTTCAAGCTCTTGCTGCTTGCCAGTAGACTCTTTCAGCAATGTTTTTTTTGGTTTATCGTCTATTGGCTTTTCGCTGTTGTCTTTGTATATTTGGGGTTGCTTGGAGCTGTTGTCTTCACGTCTTTCATCCTGCTTTTTGTGCAATTCCTGTAGTGCTGCTATTGTTTCTGCTTTTATGCCATTAAGTGTCTTTATATCGTAGTCCAATATCTCTCTCATCTCCTTCATCTCTGCAAGTATCTGTCTTGCTTGGTCATTAATTTCTGGCATGTTTTTCTCTGGAGTCAACTTATTTGCCTTTAATATCTTGACCTCTTCTTCTAACTTTCTGATCTGATTTTGCATCCTGGATTTCTCCACTGGGGTGAAGTATTCGGATTCTTTGCATCTTCTTCTGGCTTCTTTGCATGGTACTCTCTCAGTAATTGCTATCTTGAGGATTTCCTGGCAATGTTGCAGATAGGGACATCCAAAATACCTCGCCCCGTGCTGTCCAAAACAGTTGCTGCATCGTCGATTGCTATTTGGTTTAAGATAATTTTTATCTTGCTTTGCTAATGGGCACTCATTATAGGAGTGAGAGTCAGCACAATATCTGCAAATCTCTGTTTTGCTGCGGCACACTGACTTGGTATGAAACCCCTTTTGGCATCTGGAACATTGGAGTACCCTTGGGATATATATATATCTCTGGTTTCTGTAGTTTATTATCAAGCTTGACTGTTTCTGGTATACTCTTACTTTTTGTTGTTACCACTGCTACTGTTGATTTCTTGTCTTTGGATACGATTCTCTCTACTCTGATTATACTCATCTTTGGGTTTTCTCTCCTCAAGTGTTCTGCGATCTCCAGGTTTGACCATTTGGTATTCACTCTCTTGACCACCCACTTTCGGATCTCCTGAAACATCTTGGCTGCAACCAGTATCTTTTCCGGTAGCTGTAAGTCTATTGTTGGCTGTATATCAATGTCCTCAGTCATTCTCTTCGTCTGTTTTGTTTCATTCAGCGTAACGATCACACCCTCTTGTGTCTTTCTGAGTCTGCATATGCTTCCTATCCCCAGTAAAGTCTCCAGGTATCTGGTTATTTTGGTTCCCGACAAGTCCAGGCGTCTGGTTCCTCCTTCGTTTATTTGGTAAATCTTTACTCGTGTCTTGATGACCGGACCGTTGGACTTTCTTGCGTTGCTTGGAGTCTCCTCCTCAGCAGGCATATAAGCTTTGTCGATCGTACAACCATCAGATTCCTTAGTTGTAAGTGTTCTTTGATGTAGTTGGTTCTACTGCCAGCATGTCTCTTGTTGTGTCATTCTTGGCTGTATTGTCAGTTGACTGCAGGTTATACTGGCCACTATCTTCCCTTTCTATGATGATAGCTTCAGGAAAGTCGTCATCATCCTCCACAGTACCCACATGCATCTTGATCTGTTCCTTCTCTTTACTTCTTCTTGGGTCACTATCTTCCCTCTCTATGATGATAGCTTCTGCAAAGTCAAGATCATTCTCCACGTTCTTCTTGATCTGTTCCTTCTCTTTACTTCTTCTTGAAGCGTAAAAATCATGGCGCCTAGCTGCCTTTTTATATCTTGGCATTGGTAGTAGTAGGCGTTGTTTCTATGAATAATGTGTGTAATACTCACAACACTGCTGAGAACTCTCGGTCACGAACACACGTTGCCGTCACCACCAAGCTCCCTGCCTTTCCAGAAAACGTCTGTGCCACGTCGTCTGATTGGTCAGAGGTAAACGCCGCCAAGCAGTCTGATTGGACAGATGTAGACGCCTCCAAGTCGTCTGATTGGTAGAATATCGTTTACCCAAAATACTGCTGACTGACTTGAGTGTTTCTAGCAGGATCAGCCCTGTTTAAAAATCCTCCACGACGAGTGCAAGATTTTTCAGGACCAGTGGTCTATCACATATATTTGACATGTTTCTTTTCAAATGCTTAACTCTGCAGCCCTTTTCTCCTTTCCCCATTTTTTCTTATAACTTTACTTAACACCCCCCCCCCCCCCTTTCCCCATGCAATGAGATCCATAGCATCTTGTTGTCAAGAATCCACCTTTTTACCTGTTTCCTTCAGGTCCTGCTTGCCTATACCTTTAAATCGCAGAAGCCGAACCCGTGGGTTGATATGCAAGTTTCATAATCACTGTACATTGTTGCACCTGGTTTATGAATGCAGGTGTTGATTGTTTGATGATTTACCTCATTGTTTAAAGAAGAAACAAGTTGGAAGTATATAAGTTGGATAGGCCTGAGAAATATTGTTATGTGGGGGGGGGGGGGGGTGTAAAGTATGAGTTGGGTGAATGGTATAGAGAATGAGAAAGAGGCTGGTGAGGAAAAAAAAAGAAGAGGGATGAGAGTATGGAGAGAAGAGGGAGGAGAGTATGGAGAGAAGAAGGACAAAAGTGTGAAAAGAGAATGGATTGGGGATGCATTATTATTATTAGACCGTATCTAGGTGATCGTTTTGCACATCTAACAGGGTTTGGTTGGGATTAAGCCTAGGATTGTTATGTTTCTTCTGCAGATTTTAGGTATTTTCATTATCAGTAGACTCCAACCAAATGCTTGGTGATAATGTTTTCGGTGGTCTGGTGCCTAGTGATATTCCTTTTTATTTTTAGGAGCATTCTCAAATTTTTCAAATTGCATGATCTTTGAGTACCAGGTTTTGGTTTCTTCTATGGGCAGTGTATTTAAAAAGAAACTGTTTTCGTGGTGGCCTGGAGAGGTGGTGATAGAGCGTAGTTTCTGGAAAATGAGGCAGACCTTCTTGGAAGTAGGTACAAGACATCGAAGATGGATTGGCTATGAAAACACTCCTTTAAGCGTATTGGGAAAAAAAGGGCTAGACCTATATTTTTTATAGACCAATCAGCACTTGGTGGGTGATGTGGTCAGCATCACGCCGGCCACCTTTACTTCACAGGACTGCACCTGATACCCACTCAAGGACTGAGTTGACCTGGGAGTCAAGGTCATAAAAAAAAAGTCTGGCTCTATCAGGATGCGAACCCATGACCTTCTGATATAGCCTCACCATATGGCAGGACTGTTCATCTAAGTTAACTCTGGGGCCAAAATTGGGAAAATGTGGATTTTCATGGGCCAAAAGCCTCAGCCCCGGCATAGAATGATTGTTAATACAGCACAGCTAGCAATGATTTGCCGACCACTTGCTAAGCTACAACAGGCCAGATTGGGACAGCGGGCTGCTAGTTGAATAGCCCTTTCATATTGTATTTCCAAATACAGCATTGGGTACACTACACAGTTAACTTAAGTGCGTCCCATTGTCAGACGCAGTTTTGTGTTGTTTTAAAGCCCCACCCTAACTGTTGTCAGGGACCCTACTGTAACCCAACCTATGAGTTGAATGGGGCTTTAGCGACCTGTCCATGGGTGATCCTCAGCCGAATGGTGGCACTTTGTGTCACCTGATGTTTATAGCTCGATGTGATGTTTTATCACTCATTGTGATGTCTTGGCGGGGTTGAACATAGTCACTGTAGCCAACCTTCATTGTAGAGATAGCACATAAGTTTAAAAAAAATGATTATTTATTCTGTAAAATTGTTTGACTGAGTTCCTATCCTACTACATACGGCAAGATTAACTCTCTATTTCAATCTGTGTAGGTCTGGATAAAATTGAGTTCCTGCAGAGTCATGAAAACAGGGAGATCTACCAGAAGGCATTTGACATCATTGAGCGTTACTTTGGCACAGAAGAAGAGGACAAAAATCTGGCACCCTCGATGGATCAAGCATCACAACAATACCAGTTTGGCGCCAGCACCAGCACGCCCATGGGCGGCTTCCAGTTTTGATACACAGCTGTCTTTAGTTTTATTTGCCACTGTCTGTCTGAACTTTCCCTCCGTGAAAAATACAGTGTAACAGTACTGCAGCAGCAGAACCGAAAAATGGAATGGGCGTGCTGTAGTTTGTATATAATATTGAAAGTTTAACTGTGTGTTCTGTTGCATGTTTATTAATATTTTAACATTCTCAGTAATAGCGATTCTAATTCTTGTACTTATCAGTGTTAGGGTAGTTGTTTTTAAATGAAAAATTATGTCGGTGTTGTTGATTGAAACGGCATCAAGACAATGCATTGCATATGCAGAATGTGGGAATAAGACCTTGCCCAATGGTACTGATATTAGTGTGTGTTGCATATCATCTCCCCCTGATGAATGTTGACATTTGTTAACTCTTTCAGTCCCAGGCAGCGTTAACTTCAGCACATTTATACCCCAATAGTTTCACCTTGTAGAATAGCAAGTGTGAATGGAGGCGTGTACAACACGTAAAAGGAAATGCCAAGGGTTGGGGGAAGCCTAGAAGTTGATGGATTGATTAAACGATTCACTGATAGTCTATTATAGGGCTATTCAGCTGGTGGCCCCCAGGCTAAATCTGGCCCGCCGAGGCCAAGCAGGGGGCCCGCGGATCACTACCTGTTAAATTGAATTAATGCATCTTCCTATGCCGGGGCTCAGGTCTCTGACCATTGACAATCCCCGCTTTCAAAAGTTTGGCCCCTGAGTTGACTAGCCCTGGTCTAGGACATCACAGCATGCCATGCTGCTTCTTAGCCTGCCCTGGCTCGGCTACCAGTCAGCTGTTAAACTCTCATGCTCGGTAGCACTAAGTAGATATTTAGCAGAAGGAAGAAGCAGAGGAGCAACCTTTGATCCCTATTGCCTTTAAGTGAATTAACATAACACACATATGAGGTCGAGCATGTCAAATTCACTGAGGCTAGAATAGATTAATGTAAGAGTAGAATGAGATAAGAATAAGAAAAACCGTACCTCTTATAATTTTATCAGTAATTGCACAGTCAGTTGCTTGGTATTGAAAGAGTTAGTAAATGGTGACCCTTTTGAACATGCAGTGTTGCTACACCTTCATAGTTTGGTTATTGAGTTACAGAAGATTATATGTTAAGCATTTATATGTTCTCAGAATTAAGTGAAAGCTATTGAGTTTCAAAGTAATTTCTGAATATGGTCTAGATATGATGCTATATGTGTGATTCTCATTATGAAACTTAACCTGCCTCCTCTCTTTGAGTGGAGGATTAAAGAAACAATGTAAATTCCCAAAAGATTCAAAACAGGGCTATTCAACTGGCAGGCCCGGCCCAGGGTAAAAAAAGTGGCCCGTAGATCATTTGCCTGTTATTCTGTATTAGCAATCTTTCTGTGCTGGGGCTTGGGCTTCTGGCCCGCAACAATTCTCATTTTCCAGCATTTTGGCCCCTAAGTTGCCTTAGTTGAATGGCCCTGTTTTAAAAGAACACTGAGTTACACACAGAGAACTCGTTTTCTGCGCATCAAAAGGATTTGTATCTTCTGTAAGTTGACTTATGTGAGCACACTGAAAGCGAATTCCTCCTAGCAATTCATTGATTCTGGCAAGAAGAGATCATTTGTGCAGGTAATGCACTATTTCTTTTCTTTGCCTTTCTGGTAACAGGTTTTTCCCGTTTAACAAATCTGGAGGCTTGTAGACACATTTTTTGTTAGTTGTGGCATAGAAACTGTTTTGTTTTGTTTGAAATCACTTTTGTTGTTTGATGAATTGGCGAGCATATACTATATTCACAAGTTTGTGCATAGCCTTTGGTAAATCATGCAGACACATTGAGGCCATGCCTGTGAAATATATTTGGTATCAGTTTAGTGCCTCCTTGCAGTTTCAGTACTGTGTTGTTTTAACATAATATCAGCCATTCTGCTGGTCTGTCACTGAATCCCAGGCATAACACCCACTTTAATATGACAACAGATGTTTGTGCATGTTATATCAGAGGGTAATTGAGTTTCACATGTTCAAATACTATATGGCCTTAGATTACATCAGACTTCTTTGATTGTTAACAATTTACAGAACATACAGATATGACTGTCTCTCTGAAATAAACCCTTTTGTGATCATTGGCGCACACTTGTCCTCACATAAAATTTGGGCAGACTAGTAAACCATTATTATTTAAATATATGTTTCAGTAAATGCATTATTCAGAACATATCTTTGATAATTCTATTACTGGAATCCCTGCGTGTTTTTCACCTGTTTGGATTAATTTTCGAAGCAAATCTTGCAATAGATAACCTAAACTACCAGACTAAAAAAAAAAAGTGTCTCCAAAATCCAAGTGGGCTACAGTGAAACTATACATCTGTTGCTGTCCTAGATAATATGTGGTTAGCCCCAGTCTCTTCCACAGTGCAGCTCTTTTGTCACAGTCAGTATGCCTAAGAATTGTCATTTTCCAAATCAATCACAGTAAAAAATCAAACCTTGGCACATTGAGTATTGAAAGTGCATTCAATTACATCTAAGCTTCAGCAGCGAGATAACTAATAGCCATTTTACTGGCTAAAAAAATGTGCCGCTAAAGTTCTTCAAGATCTGAAGGGATTGATGGCCTTGTCTGTGTGAGTTTTCTCTGTACAGTAGTGAGTGCTGTTTTGAAATTGATTGGATTGTTTCTACAACACTAATTAAATAGTTGATAAATGAAGGAAATCTAATTTATTCTGTGTTTAATACCCATCAACTGTGCTTTTTCTTAAATGATCACATGGCTATTAGGTCCTCTCATGGTCACGAAATGTGTGCCAGAACATTTTCTACATTGTTTGGCAGTCAGGGTATGTATGTCATCAGCCTCACTGAAAGTCGAAAGGTCTGTTCAGTCTAGAAACCACATCCTCCAAACAAAACAAAAATCATGATCCTCCAAACAAAACAAAAATCATGATCCTCCAAACAAAACAAAAATCATGATGCCATAGAACTAGAACTCAATACATACCCCGTGATCAGTCAAATGTTCAATATATGGAAGTGAGGTTAAACAGTCTCGAGCAGGACGAGATGATTCCTTAGGTGAGCCCAGTACTAGAGCACCACATATTGGTTTTGCATTTATGGAAGCCTCATTAGATGGTGGGGAATGCTCATGTTCTTCCCCAGCCTTTTCTTGAGGGCTGACGAGCAGTCATTGGCTTATCTTGCCTGGCCTCATATGGGGCACCATGTTTGATCTGGGAAGCTAAGATTATCATGCGACAGTGAGACTGCAGTTTCCCACAAAACTATCCAGGAAGGCCAAACCCGGTCAAGAAATGCCTGCAGAAGTCAAATTTGTTGGCCGAAGGCACACTAATTGCAGCTATGCTGTAAACGGGCACAACACAATTACATATTCAGATGAATGCAAAAGAAGAAGAAGAGGAATCCTTTACCACTGAACATTGATTACTAGAAAGTCTTTATATATACAACATATATATTGTCGACTGTACACATTGTTATATAACCATTTTGCACAGGGAAGCTGCAAACCTAGACCTTCCGGTAGGATAATCCCTTATAAAAACCGTTTACCCGGCATTTATGCAGTGACATGTTTACACAACACATAGTTAACGTTATTCGCTGTGTTACACCTGCACAGAATTTAGGTCATGATATAAATATACTTACAAACAATAGCATCTCTGGAAAGGGGAGTGGGGGTATTATGATCCAGATGGAATTTTTTGAGTTGGGTTGAGTTGAGTCAAGGATTGACATAGATGCACTCGGGGCATTCCCATGCACGCTCCGTCCTCATTTTCAGCAGCCAGCGCAGAGTTCCAGTACTAATGGTACCCCTCACAATCTGGTTAAATGTCCTTCATGCCTTTCCTTTGAGTGTAGTCAGTCGGCCAGACCCTCTGGTTACACCCAGGTGCCTCATTCTCTCCAGGCCATAATAATCTTCTTTTTCTACTGATTCCGTTGCCTGTTCCCAAAGGGCCTTGACCATATCTGCCTTGTCATGTATCAATTCACCACCCATTGGTGCAGATCCAGCCAGTCTGTCAGCCTGTTCATAAACCCACCACACCGGCATGGCTTGGAAAAAAAATCCAAAGTATGCTCACTACCCATGACCTTTCCAGTGAAGCTTGCCACTCTGTTCGAAGCATCCCTGTCTTCACCCTTTTTCAACATGCTTTTAGAGTCTGTTAAGTTGTGACATGTGAATGCATCTTGTTATCTAGCCACCGGAGAGCTGCAGTTTTTTAAGCTATGTTCATGTAAAATATTCCTGCAGCGTTTGTGATATAGGTTATGGGGTCATGTCGTGAGTCACTGTGCACATATTTCTTTAGGCCCCAGGGAATGTATTATATCTTTTTTTACCTCACGCTGATCGTGTTTATTAATGACACCCTTTATATATTTTTATATATTTAAAGACACATTTAAAAGATGTAGGTAAAGTCTTAAAAAATGTATCAGCGACCTGTGTACAGTAGTTTTTGTTTTAAGAATTTTTCCCTAGAATTTCCACAGGTTCATGACCTATTTATTTTAGCATTCACTTGGCGAAATGGTTAATTCTTCTTGAAGTGGTACATACCTTGCTTGGAACTTCAGTTTTGATCACTTTCTTTTCATTCACACACAGTTCAAACTAGTTATTTCAAAAACTATTCAAAGACTGTCTGTTCCTTGTGTTAACTGGTTTTAGATTGAACTGGCTCTGCTGAAATAAAATCTCTGAATTCAGTCAGTCTGAAGAAAATGAACGTACAGCAGTGAAATTTGTTTGTCAAAATTGTTATGTAATTTACAATTGCATCTTGTTCCCTGTTAGTATTGCACACACACACATATCTAAGTACAGTTAATTGCATAATGTGACAGTTAATTAATCTTACAATAACTAATTGCTAAAACATTTTGTGTGTGATGTCTTTTAACTACCAGAATATCATTGTCAGGTTTATCCATTGTGTTTCTTTCGTGTGTACATAAA